TATATATATAATTACACCATCCGACCCTTACCAGAATTAATAAATTACAGATATATTCCTATAGGCTTGTAGCTGCGAAGAAAGCATTTTGTCTCACTAAAATAAAACTGTTTTGCCATTGTTTACAAACAGCACTCGTGCAAACATATCAGAAAACACACAAATAACCAATAGTTAACGATATTAGTATCTATTGTTTTTGTTGTTAACAGCATCCTAACAATAACAATCAGTTTTGATATAAAGGTGATGAAGTCTTAGACCAGTGTTTCTCAAATGGTGGGGATTTTGTGATAACTACACATTATTATTGCAATATCCGACTGGGCCTAAATTAATTTTTAACTTGCTGTATCAGTACGTTGTGTGCACCCATTTCTTAACAAAGAGGCAAACTCTACCCAAAACATGTCATTTAATTCAATTTAAAAAACCTTTACAGTGACCTACATGTTGTCCTTCTTGCAAGGGAATTATAAGTGTGTGATACATCACATTATCTTACATTATTTCCTGTTTAAATGGATGTGTTATTGGTGCTTTGATATCATTTTAAACCATTTAAAATACGTTGTTGGTTGTCAATTGTTATTTGATATAAGTAAATAAAACAAACATTTATGTTGCAATAAGAGTGATAACACATGTTATAGAGTCTTTTGAGCAGAGATATAAATATAGGTGTGCCTTGAATTTTTGGCTTGCCCTCTAAAGTTTGAAAACCACTGTCTCAAACTATAAATCAATTTGTATATTTTGGTGACCACAATTATTCCTTTCCTATCAAACTGAGCGGGTATTATTGATTGCTAGACAATACAATAGATTTTCCATGCACCCAAACAACAAGAGAAAGGCTCCAACTTTATGTACCTGGGCTCGAATTCCCGAGGGAGGGCTGTAAAGCAAAAAACATAAAATAAAGTTAAAGAACAGCTTCAGATGAAAATATCACATCATGTGTACAATCAGTAACGACTCCATGTTGAGTGTAACTTTACATATGAGTTACTCTGACAGGGGGGGGGCATAAAGGAGAGTTGAGAAAAAGCGCGCTCGACCCTGTGCCCTGAAGGCTGACTGCAGTTCAGTGAGAAAAGAAACAAAGAAGACTGTCAGCACTTCCTGTGGGAACATTTATGAAGCAGTATGAACACAATACCGTGAACTACGCTGCTGTTCGCCGCCTGCAGTCAACCGCAGTTAGCTACAACGCGCGAGCGCCTGCTGGGTTAATTTACTCAAACGGCTAACTTACACACAAATTCAAAGCTAAATCTCATTTATATATTTAGCTAACGCGTCTAAGTTACGCTTGATACCAACTACCTGCGTGTTGTAACCGAAAACAACACGTAAAACACCTCTAACCACGAAACAAACGCTACAAATCTAATTTAAAACGCTAAACTCGATAGTTGAGTGTTCTTAAACAAAACCGCGAAGTAACATCGCTAACGCAGCAGCTACCTTCCGTCGGGGCTAGCGCAGCTAACGTTAGCTAAACCCGAAGTTTACTAAACATGTCTGTGTCGAGTAATGGCGACTATCCAGCGACGCAAACAGCCGATTCTTAATTTCGTGTATTAAAGCTACAACCCGCGAACGACGCACGCGCTCGACTGAGGTAACTATCCTGCAGTATGAATTTATTTTTTTCCGAATATTTATTTCACTTTCTTACCTCCGCCATGTTTGCAATCCTGCAGGGTCACGTCAGGGGTTAGTGGAGGTTCCCGGATGTAGAGCCCCGCCCACCTGCAGTATCAGGAGCAGAGCGTGGATGTTGCAGTGACATATACATTATGTAATGTTGTATTCACAACAACACATGGCAAACACACACATGTATGTACAAAATTACACAGTCTACATATTCCCAGTATTGTTTATACCACATTTAACACAGTTTTTACAACAAAAAACATGAATAAATAAAAAAATAAATATCTTCATTTCCATTGGCATCTGATAGTATAAATGCAGTTGAAGATAAATTTATCTTCAACTGCATTTATACTATCCATAGCAAAGTACTAATTACTCCTGCACTGCTCTTACTTTAATTTAATCACCTTATATTGCAATACCTGCACTGCTAACCACCTACCTGCATTATAAGCATATCTACTGTTGTCACAGCTATCTGTAATCCTGGACCAGACATCAGACATCATCATATCATTTCACTGCTGTGTGTTTTTTATTCTTATGTCTTTATTCTTACACTTATATTCTCTATCCCCATATGTGTATCTGTGTTCATGTATGATAAGATAAGATTCCCCAGAGGGGAAATTCAAATGTCACAGCAGCACAAGACAAAAAAAAGACATTAAATAGAATAAAGATAAAAGAGAAAAAATAAAATTGCTGCATAAAGATGAATAAAGTGACTAAAACAAATAAAGTTATTGTTACCAGTACATTGTAAATAAAATATATTTGTGATTATAAGTTAGTTAATAACTTAGTGTCATATTATTTTTTGTCAGTATTATAATTTTATTAGGGGTCTCTCTGGGCCCCTCTTAATCATGGGCCCCTAGAATCCTTCTCCTTTTTCCCACCTATTCGGCGCCCCAGAAAATAGACGAAGTGTTGAATAAAAAAAAAAAATGCATTGTGAAATAAGTTACTGGGTGCCTTAATTTTCCTCAGAATTAATAAAGTATAAATAGGCCAGTAAGAAAAAATATACATGCAGTGGTGGAATGTAACCAAGTACATTTACTTAAGTCCTTATGTACGAATTTGAGGTACTTGCACTGTACTTGAGTCTGTCCTAGTGGCGTAAGGTAGTTACAAGGTTACTAAGGTAGGACATGCACACCACTGCCAACTGTTCATAAAAGGGCCAAAAGAATCTAATTTAGGGATCTTTGCTATTTTTTCCTCCTGTTCGTTTCTCTCTGGTCCTTTCTTACTGTTGCTTTTCTGTTCGCCCCTGGTCTGTCCTTTTAATGCTATTTTATTATTCTCTATCCCTGTGTGTATCAGTGTTTTTGTATTCATTGTGTAATACGCCATGGGTGCCTTAATTTCCCTCAAGATTAATTAAGTATCTATACTTCTCCTCCACTACATTCCAGAGGGAAATCTTGTATTGTTTTACTTTACTGAAGTTGTATGGAAGCTTTAATTACTAGTTACTTTACAAATGAAGATTTTTGCATAAAAAGCACGAGAAAAAAAATTATAAAATATGTTTAATAATGTATATGTTTCTTTCTTATTTTTTTTTAAAAGACATTTCTAAATCGCGTACTTATACTACTTTATAACTTTAAATATATGTTCCTGATTATTACTTTTGCCTAAGTAACATTAACAATACAAAAATGGTGTTATATTTGTGGGGGGAAAATAATACAATTTTATTATTTAAAAATTCATAAAGGAAACAAAAATACATCCACAAGTGCACAGACAAAAATGCCGTGCATACAAAATGCATACACAATTCCAGACACAGAAATACATTCCCACAAAATACAAAATACAGGTGTGTCTACTGTGGAAATAAGTGTGAGAACAATGTTGTTTCTCTTTTAGTCATGATTTAATATTTCTATCAAAAACATTAAAACTGTGTTGCGATTTGATCCATGGTACAATTTCTAAAAAAAAAAAAAAGAAAAAAAATCAAAGCCCTAATCTAACCAAATCTAATCAAAGACGTCAAGACCATAACAACATAGAATTTCAAGAAGACTTCATACTTGGTTTTCACTACAGCAAAACTATGCAAAAGCTCTGCTGTATATACCAGAACTTCACATGTTCAGGATGTAATGTGCTGCTGCTCTGTTTCCACATTCAACACTCATGAGATCCAAACAGTAATTAGCATGAACTTTTAACATCATGTGTCAAATTATGAAACTTGTGAACTGGACATTTATGTAATTAAAGATATTAATTACACCTGTGGATTTCCTGCACTTCATAAAAGCAGCTGCACTGATAAAGTTAAATCAAGATACATTTATAATACAAGCTATATTTTTGATTTTGCTCACAGTCACCATTGAATTCTAAAAATAGGCTGGTAATAACTATTCCCAGATCAACTTCCGTGACACAGTTCAATTTCACAACAAGCGTACCGGTTATTGCGACTGTCTCTTCTCGGAATCACTGATTTATGTTTGTGATAGCGGCGCACACACTCCACTATGTTGCTATGTAGAAAGCCATCACCTCAGTTTGTCCTAAGGTGGACATCGCCAGCGACCCATTAGGCAACACTTTGCTAAATCCCTGGCAATAAAAACCCTGCAGTTCGGACATAAAAGAGCAATTCTTTCTCTTTAACATTTACGAAAATGTAGTTAATCAATGATCATCATGGTGGCCTAGATTCCCACACACATCCCGAATGACCGGACTGACATCCGCTGTTAAAAGCTCATGATGGTTACTGGAGATAAACAGACTATTTACACAGGTGGGAGATTTGGGAAGGTGTGTGACATCACTGGGGACTGTACATAAAAGGGCTGATGAGGACAGATCGTCTCTGAGAATGAACAACATGAGACCCCAACTACTGCTCGCGACGCTGCTGTGCATGCTGTGTGTAGCACAGGTGCAGACGCAGGATAACACACTGAAGCTGTGTGGCCGAGCATTTGTACGGGCGGTGGTGTACACCTGTGGAGGATCCAGGTGGAGACGACTGATGGGAGAAGAGGAGACTCTACAAGACAGTGAGTACACAGTCACTTCAGTAGCTTTAGGGTTCATTTCACGACCTTAAAAAAATATCACTGACAGGCTGATATCTCTCGGCAGGTAACATGGAGCCAAAACATAAGACGACAGACGTGCAAGCGATGGACCATCATCAGCGGGACCAAAACCAGGCACTAATATCAGTGTGCTGTCAAATAGGCTGTCGAAGGAGTGACCTCTCCATGCTCTGCTAAAGGGGAACATCCCCAGGGGGTCATCATCATCAATCTGTCATTCATTAGTGTAAAATAAAATCTTCACTGTCAGGATGTGATTTCATTTTCTGTGCTACCAAAACTAATAAACACCCAGAATTTTGCCTACAAATTCTTGTTTTGTCATTTCATACATGACTGTAAGAATTATATAACTTAAGTGTTCTCATCAGAGTCTGTTCAATGTCCTCACGATTCACTCTAAGTAAACAGCATAGACTGTTGCCACACCAAACAGAGAGCTGTTCTTGAAAGAGTAGGAGGCAAACGTGTCATTCGATGCGTCCCACAGACAGCGGCTGCTGATCTGCATGCTCTGCCCGGCGAGCTGGCCGATGTGGACCAGGACGACAATCTTATATCGAGGGATCATGAGGTCCTTCACGCGAGCTCTTATCACCTGGGAGGGACAATTTCAAAGAATGAAATTGACAGAAGAGAATTCAAGGTATTCAGAAGGTGCTGCATGAGTGAGCTTTTCAGTTTTATTTACCTCACATATTGTTTTTGTCATTTTTTGGGACCATTCTACTTCATATTTCTCCTCTTGGAGGTAACTGGTGAGTACATCCTTCAGTATGTCAGTGACTGCAGGGACAGGGATGCGTTTGTACGGTCCTGTGGTCCAAAAGACAAAGACAACAATACCATAAGTCAGGACTATTCAACTACAGCTTCAACTGGGCTGGATTTTAAAACCAGAAAATGTCGATGGGCCAAACATTTTCAGCAGCGAGCAACCTACTAAAAACTTTTTTTAGCTTTTGATAATGACAAATTTTAAACAAATGCAAATGAATGTAGCAAAAGTAGCAATGTATATCACTGCACGTGTTTAGGAAGATACACACGACAGTTTTACACACAGTCTATGGCAGCAACAGTCACATTTACAACAACAAAGTCACAACATAAACTCTTCCTCCTATATTCCTCCTGACATCACAATACTGAGTGAAAAAAAGTAATGTTAGTTAAGCATGAAGAACACAGACATCAGTATCAGTCTTTCATCCTGCTCTCTGTCCCCCCTCTACTGAGGAGACTCACTGTCTGCAGGTCGGCTGCCTCAGGTACATTTTAAGGGTTAGCCTACATACAGACAGCTTTCATTTTAGTTTAACAGTTTGCTGTTAGCCCTGTGAGCAAGGTTTTTATTTTGCACGGGGATGTTTAATACTGGAGTCTCAGTACCCATCCCTAGCCAGCATTTGTAAGGTTGTAGTGCAGCTCAAGTAATCACAGCACATAAATAAAACTGAATTTCTGCCCAAATATTTTGACAAACTAAATCTCTTACAGAATCAAACTCAAATCGCTGTTGTATTTTTCTAGTTGGTGATGATGCTATGGGGCGGCACATCTGCCATACAGGTGACAATTATCTCACCCATCTGGTAGGTGTTCTCCATTGTTACAGTCATCCGAGCGTTGTCATCATGGTGTGCTAGTTCATCGATGTACGACACAGTGCTTATAGAGCTGAAAGACATGATCACAAGAAGACACCTCCATTTAATTGAAAATGAGCTGAGAGGAAAGTCTCACCCAAGCACACTGTGTTGGGAGGACTTTCTGAAAATCCCTCAAAGCCTCTGCCACTATGTTACAGTTGATACATGTCTGACAAAGATAGCAGAAAACAAAAGGTGAATGTATAATGTGTACAGTTTACTCACTCCTTAGCCCTGCCTGTTGTTTCTTTGCCTCTGACTCCATGGCTCCCCTCTGAGGATACCTTACCTGCCCTCTTCTCTCTTCTGAGGGATTTCTCTTTAAGCAGGTCAGACATGACAGCTTCCCCTTCCTTTAGCTGGTCTTCATATAAACACAAATATGCTGCCGTTAGCTCAATTAATAAATAACAGTTTATCATACACAGGAGCAACTAACTTCAAATACTTGTGGATAACACATCACAAATTATTGATAGTAAACTCACTTTGAAATGAAATACATAAATATGGAGGATGTAACGTCAAAACTATTCAAACATTGCTATGCTAGCTTTTCTGAGTAACGTCAGCTAGATTAACATATTTAGCTTCTGAGTAACATTAGCTAAGTTGACATATTTAGCTGTTTGGAGTTGGCTCGTGAGTAAACCCGTTATTATTTTAACTAATTTTAACAAACAGTATAGTCTTATAGATTGTATTATATTAAAGGAGGTATACAGAAATATTACCGTGGGAAATTTAACACGTTTTTACCGATTTCAAGACCTCTTGAGCCGAGCTGAACAAAGTAGTTAGCTCCGTAGTGCTTGGTGTTGTCATGGCAACCGTGAACCATCAGTCAGTGGGCGGGGTTCCCGTGTATAAGTGCTGCATTCAGGTGCTCCTCGGTTGGTACCGTTGTTTATGAGCTTTTAAATGTGGAAACAGCATGAACGCTATAAAGAAGATGTATTTTATTGCTCAGATGATTTAAACAGTACACTGATAGCTGTTTCTGCACCAGTCCTTTCTTTTTTAAAAAAAAACAAAAAACACTAAAATATTGCTTTACCTGTCTTGTTAATGTCTTTTTTTTAACTTTACACAATGCAGTCAGTGGACAGTACATTCACTTTATATATAAAGTGGTAAGTAATGACCAACAATTTAAATTAAAATAATGAGACAAGTAAGTACACACTTCATTAATAGTGATGTCATCATACAAAACCAGACAGACAAACATAAATAAGAGCGACACAAGTATGAACACACACATAAACACACAGGGGTTGGGTTTACCAACTTAGTTATGTAGTTGTAAGATTTGCAGAAATTATTAGTTTTGGTTAGTTTTTATTAGATATATTTATACATATTTTATTATTAACTTTATTTGTGTCTAGATTAGATTTTTTGAGAGCAGGAAACAAGGTTAATTTCTTTAGATATTATATTTTATGAGTATAAAATTTAGCTAAAACAACGAGCAATTTAATTTTATACTGCTCATTCTTGAGGAAATTTGTGTGGAGATCCAACTGAAAATCAGTCCAGAAAAGCTAATAAATAACTTCTAGAAATTGTATGTGAGCAAATATATATATGAATAATCAAACGTTTTGTAACATCAACCATTGATGGATTACTGAATGGACCTACCGGGCACAGGCCCAGGCCCCCCTGGCCTTCGCCCCCAAGATGTTACCCACATAAACACATACCAACCAGTAAGAGACTCAAAATTACCAAAAAGACACAAAAATACCACAAAGTGATGCAAAGGTTCTGCAAAGACACAAGATATCTACAAAAAGGGGAAAAATAACCACAAAGACAAACAAAAATGTCCTCAAATAGACACAAGACAACTGCAAGGTGACAGAAAATAACCACACACAAAATGACCACAAAAAAACAAACCACTACAGATGCAAAACGACTAGCCTACAAAGAGATACAAGACAACAAAAAACGACGCAAACCCACCACAAAGTCTGTGTCTTGCTCCTGTGTGGAAGAGATGGAGGGGCCTTTTCATATCTGTGCCCAGGGGCCAACTCGGCATATACCATGTCAAGTTGTGCCAAAATTTCATCTTACTCCAGAGGTGTTTTCTTGAGCGCAGTTGGGAGAAATTTCCTCAAGGGCTTTCTACCAGAAAGGGATCTCGGTTAGGAAAAAAGCCTATGAGGAAAAGTTCTCCCATATGCGACGTGAGCGGGTGTTCAAATTAATTTTCCAAGTCAGGAACATTTTTCAGATAATTCCAGCACCACTTGAATGCAACATTCCTGCTGCTCAGGTTTGTTTGTAATGACATTTCTACAATTACTACATCTCATTTCACTGATACATTATTCATAACTTTAATTGCTAATGACGACAGTATAATGTGGTTGAAAGAAGCTACTAGATTAATCAGATTATTCTTGACCTTAAAAAAGCAGTTGAGAAACAACCTCCCCAAATGATCTATTTAGTGGCCGTTTTGGAGCTTTTGATCATACCACATGATATTCATCAGCAGGGAGTCTGCCTGGTTGTCATGGATTTGTAGATGTTCACATTTCCTTTTCTTTTGTGGGCACTTCCTGTCATATTGGCTTACCTGTTTCCAAGGTCAAGGATGAACTTTGAACCCCAGCTTAGCCAAAACATTGAAACATTGTTTTCTCAACTAGCCTAATCACATTATTTTTCCATACCATCTACTTTACGATGGCCCGTGCAACACTGATAAGACTTTTTGGAACTTCGGAAACAAATCAGAGGAAGATAAACAGCTCATATTTCCTCTTCTTTATTACCAAGTAAAACAGGTATTACATTATATTGATTTTTTCATATATTTACTTTCAAAATCTTTGGATGGGAAATTTACATGACATGTTTGCATATTCTGTGTCCTAATACAGTGAAAGAAATACAGCCAAAAGAGTTGTAGAAAAAATAAACTTACAGAAACCCTCTCATGTTGGAGGACTCGCTTGAAAATAAGGCAAAGAAAAAACATAAGCATAATGAACAGAAACACTGAGAACTGTTGTTCTTAATCAACTGAAAGAACCGTAATTTTTTTTTGTTCTTCCTCAAAGGACTAAATGAAATATTACACCCAGGCCCAAACTGTGAGTCAACACATTAAAACATTCTATAAAATGTGATGTTCATGTGACATGAGGCAATGAATTTGTTTAATTCATGAAATTTAAGGTGTGTTTTGTGTGCGTGTCAAACACAAGAGAATGTCAAACACCTATATCAGATGCATGAAATGGGAATATCAATGGATACATGCCAAATTTATTGACGATGAGTTTCTGGAGGTGCAACAACAGTGAAACAGAGAGTGGAGGTTCAAGTGAAGGCAAAAAAGTCTCCTCTCATAGTACGAGTATACAATAACACACGTATCATGACCGTATTGAAATGGATAAACTGGTATTGCATTGATAAGACTGGAATGGACAAATGCAGATTTCATGCGGCACCGTTTGGAGTTATTCATCAACAGTAACACTTCTTTTTTTTTGGTACAAGAAACCCACATGTAAAACAATAGATGGAGAGTGGTGGTGTTGATACACAGAACCTAATTCATTATGAGTGCTGACATCAATAAACCAAGAGACAATCACAGACACATCCATATGCCCGGAGAAATATTTGAAACATAGCTTTTTATGTACACTTTTTACACTTAAATATTGCTATTAGAAAATGATAAAACATTTATTCAACATGGTGGAAAAGGGAGGAAATTAAACAGGGACAGGAATAGAGCTGTCTTCCTCATAGACTTTTATCTTCGTCACTCTGTTATGTCCTCAAAAATCCTCGTCAAGACCTCTATCAAAGATCATGGTCAAAGGACTTGGCCAGGTTTTTAAAGGGATAGTTTGGGTTCTTTGAAGTGGGGTTGAGCGAGGTACTTATCTATTGTCAGTGTGTTACGTACAGTAAATGTCAGTCAGCAGATCACCAGTTGTGAGAAGCAGGCAAAAGTGCCGCCATGGAAGTAAGGCAATGTACTGCTGTGGATGAGGGCAGCAGCAAAACATATTTTAGCCAACTATTAGACTAGAATTACCACGTTGTGCTTAAATGCCTTTGCGCATCAGTCAAGTTGCAGTTACAGTTTACATCCACGTCTGCCCAGACTCATATGTAGCCATGACAGTTGACGATGCTTCAAATATGGACGCAAAGAAGCTACATATTCTAAAACATGGATGGTTCACACACATCTCCCCCCCGACGGGACCTGAAGATGAGCAGTTTCAGGATGGACACCTAAGATTAGGGCCAGTGTCTCCCCTTCTGTTCCTCAGATATGGTGTTGAGTAATGGCTATAAAAGTGTTTTGCAGAACATTATGATGTCACAGTGATGTTGACCTTTGACCTCTTGGATATATCATTTCATTTTATCCTATTAGACATTTGTGTGTATTTTGTCACAATTAGTGTATGAATTCATGAGTTATGGCTAAAAGCATGTTTTGTGAGGTCCCGGTGACCTTGACCTTTGAACAACAAAATCTAATCAACTTTACTCTTGAGTCCAAGTAGATGTTTGTGCCAAATTTGAAGAAATGACGTCAAGGCCTTCTTGAGATATTGTATTCAATTCACAACAATGAGACAGATGATGTCACAGTGACCTTGACCTTTGACCTTCAACTACGAAATTCTAATCAGTTCATTCTTGAGTCTGAGTGAATGTTTGTGCCAAATTTGAAAAAAAAAAAAAATCCTCAAGGTGTTCTTGAGATATAGTGTGACTTTGACCTTAGAACACCAAAACCTAATCAGTTCATCGTTGAGTCCAAGTGGATGTTTGTGCCAAATTTGAAAACATTTCCTTGAGAATTTCTTGAGATATCACGTTAACGAGAATGGGATGGATGGACGGACAACCTGAAAAACTAAATAATAAAACTAATAAATAATGCATCCATCCATGGCTATCGCCAGAGTAGAGGCAAAAAAATAATAAATAAATAATAATAATAATAATAATAATAATAATTTAAGCGTATGCTAGGCCTATATTTAGAATATTTTCACTTCATTTGCTTGAGTTCCCTGATTACCAACAGGAAAATGAAGCAGTTAAAGCAATCTCTTTAAAGCCAGGCCCCATTAAGAAAAACAGTAATTTAACATCGCTGAACACAGGAGCTGCTGATATACTGATGCCTTGATCAGTTATTTTCTTTGTATTAATGCGTGACTTTGGTGTTTAACAGGGTTAGTTTGAATTCACCAAAGTCACACAATGACACGATCAAACCAACTGATAAAGGCAGCAGTAGATCACCATCTTGTGTGATTAGCGAACTAAAATTACTGTTTTTCTTAATAGACTTTGGTGGCATTGGCGAGAGCATAGATGGAAAATAAAAGCCATCGACTGCTTCCCTGTCAGAATAGGCTTCTCTGAATGTAAAGCGGAGAAATACACTCAATTTGGCATACAGTTAATCTGTTATAGAGTTTTTTAGGTGGGACCTTGTCTAGGCAGCTAAAATAAGTTTTGCTGCAGCCCTTGCCCACAGCAGCACATTGCTTAGCGTCCATGTCAGCACTCCTGCCACTTCTCCAAACTGGAGACGTGCTGACTGACATCTGCTGTTGGTAATACACTGGCTATGGATAAGCACCTCATACAATCCAACTTCAAAAAATCCATACTACCCCTTTAAGCAGCATCAAAGGCAACTCCTACAATCGTCTGCCCAGGTCCCCTCTACATGTCTCCTGAAACTTAAAGCTCCCTCTCACCCCCATATGGCACTCACTTCTGGCTCTCTATGCATCTCACATCTCAAGGCCCTTTCAAACATAACTCCTGTGACATTAACAGAATAAAACAACCAAACTCATCCTGTGAAAGTAGCAGCGTCTGTTATTCACACAAGTATCGCCCTATAGTCACAAAATTTGACTGTCCACACACCACCACAAAAACCACTTAGGTCCAATGATGTGGGAAAGTTGCTGTATCTCAACGTTGCACGTGCCCGTAGTGGTACTGAAATGCTTTTGTTCTTGATTTACTGTCAGTTTCAACTTCCTGTTCACATGACCCGTTAATGGCAAAATGCCATTGAAGTAGTGGTAAAGGCTGCGTGTGTAAAAATATAGTATTACATATGTGTGCTTCGATCCTGATCGTGGGATGGGACAAAGTAAGACTTTTTTTGCAAACAGATTAACGATATTTTGTAGAGAATTTATCATCACTTATTACCTTTGCAGCCACCACGGCAATCTAACTCTACAGTATAGTACAATAGCAAGGGTGCAACTGTGCAGAAATATCGGACTCAAACAAAATGAATAGACATGTAAACAACAAAACAATACAATTTACAAATGACGTTTCGAAGCTTTGAACCTCCGAACTACTCAGTATATAGCCCTAGTTAGTTGACTAACTCGACAATTGTCAGCTAGCTACACAGTTAAGGCATTGAAATCGCTAATGTAATTTTTGTCCCCCTGTGAGCAGCGGAAAACAGCTGTGAACACTGACATTTTATCACCTTTTAAGGCCCCGATCACACAGAAAGTGTTTTAGCAGCTGGAGGCAACTTTTTGTAATTGTTTTTAATGAGAATGAAACTTTTTGCTCACTGTTTTTGTGTTGAACTTGACTTGAACTGAAAAAACTTCAACTCAAAGCAGAAAAGCGCCCCAGGTCATCTATGCTTTTTCCCCATTGTCCAATGAGATGATCTGAGAGGCGGGCCTTCTGTGGTTGTCATGACAACAAGTTTACAGTTAAACAATGAAGGAGAAACTGGTGGTAACGGTTGCTGGATACCCAGAGCTACCCACAGCCCGATGATAGACAGCAGGTTGTCAAACTGCCCCTGAGTCATCCTAAAATGTGCCTGGAAACAGCCATCATCGAGGTGAAGCTCCTGGACCGACTGGTGGTACTCCCCATGATCCACCCTCTTTATTAGGGTCTCATGTACCAAAACAGATCTCCGTTTCCCTGTGCCCAACAAACTATTTACTGACAGCCTCTCACCCTTAACCAGAGCTACAGCAAGTACCCTCTGCCTCAACATTTTAAGAACTAGATACTAATTACTGTGAAATAAAAAATAAATAAAGGGTAGATTGATCGCATGGGAAGGTTCGCATAAGGACGTGATGGGGTGGTTGCCTTCCAACAATAAAAAGGCGCAGCAAGCATTTTTTTTCACTAGCGGCATTTGATTGAGAGAAAAAAAAAAAAAAAGGCAGCAGGCCCGCCTCGACTTTTGCACCCTGTAAAACACTTTCTGTGTGAGTTGATGAGGTGAACTTGTTAGCAAACAGTGGCCTATAAACACATCAAGCTGACACTCAGTAACAGCAGTCATTTGGAGTCGTGTCTCTGTCCACCTGATGATGATCTAAGTCCAATATTTTCCCTCCTTTCATCTCTGTTTTCAGTCTACACCAAATCCTGAGAGAAAATCTGCCTTTTAGCAGCTAAATATTCCAAAATGTTCACCAGCTGGCTGCTAACTTTGATGTCTGCTGTTTGATTCTGGGTAGTTTGTGTACAGTCTGTTTATCTGAGCTTTTTGGACAAAAATAAAACAATTTCATCATCACATAACAGAGCAGTGAGAGTCAACAGAAACACTAAAGTTTGTGGCTACAAAACAAAAACAGCGAGCTAAACTTTTGTCAGTACAAGCAACCTCTTTCACATATTAGTAATTATGTGGTGCAGTGTTAAGATAAATAATTACTGACACTTTGTATGGAGCATAAAATAATTTTTTCATCTTAAAAAGGAGCGACATGTGACATATAGAGCATATCTATGATTCAGAGTCTGGGACAGGATTGTCTGCACATGGCTCTCACATGGCAGGGATTGTACAGACAGAGACAAGTCAAATTCAAGGACTTATAAGTATCTTTTCAAGCAATCGTTTTTATTTTTGAGGTTGAACTGGGGTGGGATTGTCTGCACATGGCTCTCAACATGGAGGTGGCTGAGCAAGGAGCTAGCAGCTAACAGTGATTGGTAAAGGACAAAAAAAGCAGGAAAATATATGCAGAGCCAACCACATGGGGGGAGGACTAGATGGTGGGTGCTACACTTCCGTGACAACGATGCACCGATATCAGTGGTAACCACTGTAAGAGCACAGTGCAGAGTGGCGGCGATAAGCTAGCCAGGATACACTCACATGCACGCACACACAGTCGGATCGTCTACCACAACAAAAAACAGAGAAGCTCAGATTACAACACACACAGAGGAAGTGTGACTTCACTCTCTGCTCGAGATGCCATTACTTCAATCTATCTTTACATCACAAATAATGGTTTGCTGTTACATTACTGCTCTAAATGTCACACACAGCTCCTTTAAATTAATGTATTCTTTGCATGATGATAATTTCTCTGCTAAATATAATTAATGTGCTTGCACGCAAAGCTTCACTGTGCTCAATATTCCCCATCACACGATCCACACTGAGGCACAAATATAATTCCATATAAAAAGCACCTTCAGAATAAGAGTGCTGATGTTAGTCCAGCGCTGCGGGTCACTCTGAACTGTGAACTGAGCAGTCACCTTCAATCACAAGACTGACAGAACGGGCTGTGACATTTTTAAAGGCTGTCTACACAGAAACATAAATTCTGCCTAGACAACGATAAAGATCGGTGGTGGGAAAAAAATCTGATTTGAGGTGGCAGTGTAAATCAGATATTACCATGTAACCTAAAACTTATTGGAGTACAACTGCAAAGCAACTCTAAACTACACCTATTTTTACATTTTCCAGTCTTTTCCACCGTGTTTAAGATTGTTTTAATATTATATAATCTATTCACATTATCTTTTACAGTGCATTTGCAAAGACAACCAGTTAGACAAAGAAACTGCAATGAATAAGGCTGGATCACTGTATGAATCCACAATTATGTTAACGAGAACAAAGAATCAGGGTTTCCCTATGTTTTACTCCATGTAAGCCCATATGTGTTTCAAGTGCACAGAACTAATGACTTGTATTTACTTGCATAAACTCAGCAGCAGTCAGTCTACTGAATGTGATGTCATGAAATCAAATATCACCTCTGTGTGTTTGTGTTCTGTTAATTAATCTGCTAAAGATAAGGTTTCGAATGCACTAAACATGGGATGGATCCATAGTCTTCACAGTCAAAAGCCATTGATTCTTTTGGTTCCGTTCACAAACAGGTCCCACTAATTATCCGCCAAATATTTCCCTGTGGAGCAAAACGAAACATGTCAGAGAAGCGGAGACGTTCAGCCTGGAGGAGTGACTACACCAAAGAGGTCACACACATTTTGAGAAGGGTCCAGCTGCAGAGTTCCAGGCTCGGGCCTATCTCCCCCGTCGGACACTTTCTGGTCCTGAGCTCGGAGGAGGAAGTAAACTGTGTACGCCAGGGATGATCATTGGGATATGATAGCATGCGTTCATTAGTCTGAATAAGCCACACAACCTCCACCAATAACACCAATGTCAACAATACAACCTTATTATTATTATTGTTGTTAAGCAGCAAATAACTTGAGTTTGCTAATGTTGGCTGACGTTAGCTAGCTATTATAATGTATACAGTAATGTTAACTTACATTAGCAAACTCAGTGGGTTAATACGTAAGTTGTTTGTTGCTTAACGTTACCTAACTTTATAAGTTATAATTATATTGAAATATGAACATTGTATTGTTTTACCTTGGTGGTATTGGTGGAGGTCGTGTGGCAAAGGTTATGTGGCATCTAAATGAACCCTTTACACTCTGTAGCCTGTAATACAGTGGCACCTAAACATATAACACACTTATTTACTAACATTATAATTATCCACTATGGGGTGTAACGATGGAGATAGGTCCCAGCGCCAGAGGTGGGCCGAGCCTGGAATTCTGCAGTGGGACCCTAATGCACATTTCTGATACTCAAACTGACCTGCAGCAAATCTCTTCTTGATCAGCGATAGCCGGTAACCGGTCCCAACCAGCTGGATGTCACAGCCTGACAGAGTGCATCCCTCACTGCTGAACTGGACCGCCAGCTGTGAGGGTTTACAGGGACCTTCTGTCATCTGGAACCGGCCCAGAAGAGCCCCGACTCCTTTAGGACACAGATAGTATGACAGCTTTGATAGGCTTTTTTTTTGTGTTTCTGTTACCGTAAAGACTGCCGATACCAAAAAAACTTTAATGAGACTGATTGCTTAGCAAGAATATTATCTAAGAACATGAATAAATACAAAAATGAACACTTACCTCCATTTTCAGATCTATGAGAGAGACTGGGGATTTTCCACTGTATCGTCTGCTGCTCTTGATTCCTTTAGGAGAAAAAAATTCGACATTACAGAGGACATGTTGCAGTTTGATATGCATTAAGCCACAGTGGATACAAAACTTAGGACACTTGGGACATACTAGGTTCATATTCAGACTCATACTTGAATTATTGGTTTCTACTAGAACATGTTTACATGCTTTAATAGTAAGAAAAATAAACCACTTTATTTTCCTCATACTGTCCATGCTGGAACACCTGTCTTCACCCTCTGTCTAACACACACTGCTTTAGCAGCTGTCTCTTTAGTACCTTTCCAGGTCTCCCTGATCTCCGCATCTCTGTACCATCTTTGCAGCCAGAGTATGTCTGTACTGATTAATAGTGACACTTTTTTACCATGAAAAACCACCAATAAAAGTTTCTAAAGCAAAATTTTTACAACTGGATATTTTCCAGCAGGAATATGATCCGAATTCAGAGAGAAATTAACGACATGGGCAACCAAGATGACATGTTTCCCTGATGTTAGCATGCAGCTACATGTAGCAGTGTACTTGCAGCCAGGGAGTGACTGTAAAGTCCAGTTCAGACCAAACATTCGCGTCAAGACGAGTTGAAACTTGCAACCACTTGTCATTCTGCAACGTTCTAAAAACCTGCTGGTTCACACCAATGCAACTAGATGAGATGGTGTATCATCTCTATGCAACAACTCTCTGTACCTCCACTCTGTTTGCAGCTTTTCCGGCTTATTACCTCCGCCAAGGAGGTTATGTTTTTGCCGGCGTTGGTCTGTTTGTCTGCAAAATAACTCGAAAAGTTCTGAACAGATTTTGATGAAATTTTCAGGAAAGGTTGATAATGGGACAAGGTACAGATGATAAAATTTTGGTGGGGATCGGTTGAAGCGAAGTGGATAAAATAATAAAATGGCGGGAAATCCGAGCTGCTTGGCGGAGGTTCTCACTCTCCGAGTGCTCTTGTTTTGTGGCTGAATTTAATTTGTAGCTTCTTAAAATATGAATGAGGATAGTGATAGTGAGATACTGGCTACAGCTGTATTTGTACTAGTGATGAAACAATGAAAAACAGAAACAAAACAGGCATCAGATGGACTGTATTCATAATCATAATAAATACGCCACAATAACATAAGTAACCAGCGCCAATTAATGGTGATACATTGGCCTTGGCTGCTCTAACATGAGCTACTGAAGGCAAAGAGTCCTTACCAGGTGGCGGGGGGGATCATGCCCTGGAGTTTGGCCATGCCTCCATCCACAGGAACCAGGAACTGGATGTTGTGTAATGGCATGGGAGCGGCCATGGCCTCCATGTTGTATTTGTAGTCTATTCTAAGGTCTGTGTTGTTGGCATCGCCTCGCCAGCTCACTGCCAGGTTCAGAGGAGTGGACTGGATCCCCTCTGCTGACACCTGGGAAACACGGAAACACAAGACAGTGAGAAATATGGAGGGACAGATAGTCAGATCCACTACATACACAGACAAATGAATATCTGATACCTGATATTTGATCATGTCCACGTTGTAGTAAGTCGCCTGAGGCTTCTGTTCAGCCACTTTTTTCAGATGGCTCATCAGGTTTGGCATATTCACCCAGAACTCCCTGGTGTCTAAGCTACTGTCTGTTGTGGAATCACTGAGGGGTGAGAGGAGCGTGTTACTCCATCAGCCATGTGATTACCATAATTAGATACTTGGATATCATGTATGTATTTTGTGTGTGTGTGTCTGTAATGTTATTCCTACCAGCACAGCAGCTGTGGATTGGGGAGGACCTGCTCCAGCCGGCTGTAGTTGCTGATGCAAAAGGTGAGGACGGGTTGAGTAGGGTGGCTGGCAAAATGCCTAGTGATGCCCGCAGGGAAGGACAGCACCATCTCCCCTGTGATCTTCACCACACATCTGGGACAGAGGGAGAGGAGAGACAGATCTCAGAACAAAGGCACACTCCCAGAATCCCTTTAGTGTCAAAACTGAAATGCAAAGTCAGTTTGTAGCTGCCAGGAATGTATTCACTTTATTAAGCCCTATTCACACGGGACAAGTATTACCAGGGGACCTCATGTGATTCAGAAATTACCCCCCAACATCTTTGTTTCGTGCGGCGCATTCGCAAGGGATATGTACTCAAATGTACTGACTTTTTCCTCTGGATATGATGCACACAGTCACATGAAACTCCACTCTGCACAACACAGAAAAACTACACAGCACCATTAGCTGTGATCAGAGTTTCGCATCGGGCGGGTGACCTGCAAAGAAGGTGATTTGCGAGTGGTATTTTGTCTTAGTTTTATTTCCAGCTTCGGTTCTGCAGGTCAGATCAGTGTTGGATGATAAATATAATTACATGAGTTTTTTTTAGATTTTTATCCTCTGTTACTGCTGACTTTGTGTAACGGCTCCATCCTCTGTGCTACCTGGAATCTGAGAGCCCTTTCAACCAGATGTGTTCCTTACACACATGTTAACCGTGGAGATGTGCTCAGTGTCATGAGTATAAGCAAAAATATTCATTGAAATTGTATTGTCTGAATCACCCTATTCTAAAAATATATTATTATAGTTTCACATGTATGAAATGTCCCAAAATGATCACTTTAGAACGCGCTGCCTAATTGAATTATTTGTGCAGCGCATGGTTATTTTAGGATTTGCGGTTACGGGGGCCTGCAGCAGATCTTGTGTTGATGAGTCGCGTCAGGTTGTGGAACCAATAAGTCATATGTTCGGGCGCTTGTACGGTATTGCATGTCATGGTACTGGATCAGGAGTGGGTCTTGAAAATCAGATTCGTGCAGGACTCTGGTGGCAATGTCCCGTGTTGACCTCCTTTTTTAAAATTTTCGTTTTTAAATGCGAGTTAAACAAACAGAACCGATCACGCCACATTGTCTCATGTCATCCATTTCATCATCTTTCAAGATTTTGCTCCTCTGATGGATTTGAGCTTGCTCTTTCTGCAAATGGGACTCCATGCTGTGTAGCGAAATGAGCCTTTTGCGCCCAAAATGGTGTCAATACTTTCATTCAGAGGCAGAAAAAAGGCGCAGAGAAAACAAAAAAAAGACCAAAGCAGGAAATGCCAGTTTGCATGAGACTAATGTTATCAAATGACCTCTGTGTTTGGCGAAATATGGCAGATAATTTGTGGTGGAATTAGTAGCTGACAAATTACAAACATGGCAGATTTGCACGGGATTAGGATCACAGACAACCTCCGTAATTGTTACAAATTACTAGGGATCCCCAGGCAATGCTAGTCACAGGGTTTTGGTCTTAGACTCTGCATCTTGATACGTATAACATTAAAAACTGTCTCTGTGTTCTGTGTGGGCCTACTTGCTGGGGTCTGCGCCTTTGAAGTAGGCATTGATGGTTTCTGTGAAGGCAGCTGCCACTGGCAGAGTGTCCTGGGGTCCCATGGTGAGCGGACTGGGTCCTCTGGAGCATCCTGTTGAAAACACACACACACACACAAAATACACCTAAAATACACTCTGACTATGCCTTTTCTCTCGGCTCCTTCCCTATATGCTCAAATGTGCAGCTATGGGCTACACGCATAGATTGTATAATAAAGATGGATGACATGACAGCTCCCTAAAAGTGATGCCAAAACATCTTGATCACCCCTTGGTGGCTGGCTGCAGTGCAGGTCATAAATCCCGCCCCTGTCATGTTAGCGTATGAAACATGGGCCAAACTAAAACTACAGTTCAATTACAGTTCAATTACAGTTCAATTTTTCTGATAAGTTACTCGATACTACAAAAATGGGGTTTGCGGTCATGTTTGACAGCACTTGATACCACGCAGATCGCTACTACACAGACTCTGGCTCCAAATGACATCACCAGTGCAAGATGGCAGCTGTAGCATTTGGGATATTTTGGCCTCATTTTTGCACAGTGGGAGGAAGTGGAGATGCGTCATCCATCTTTATATACAGTCATTGGTTTTACGCAAAAGATAAAGTGGGGAGTATAAACCAAAAAAACAAAAAAGTTGAAACTCAAACATCGATCTAGACACCAGACTGTGGGTGAATGAGCAGGACATGGGATGGGATGGGTAGCAATATTCTGGCTCAGTGAACATTAATGTTGAGAGGACTGCAGGTAAAAGGAGGGCAGGCGCTTTCAGCCCATGCACTAGTGGGACTACAGCAGCGTACTGGCTCGACTCACCTTCAAAAGCTAAATAAAACCTGCCGTGGTCAAACCATACCAGAGGCTGTGTGGCCTCTGAGTGAGCAGAGACATGAGGAGAAGAGAATCATGGAGAGGGACAAGACCGTGAGGCAAGGACACGATGATGAGAGACAGACAACATGGATACAGACTGAGATGTGAGGCTAAAGAGAAAAAAGATGACTTGCTGGTAGTGTACCTGAGGCGGACATGCTGAGCTCCTTTCCTAAAGTTGGAGTGGACGCTGCACTCTGTATGGTGATGGAGGAGATGGAGGAAGAGCTCTCTGCCCGGGCAAGAGGGGCGAAAGGCGGGGGGCTGCCTGAAACTGGCGGACTGAAGGGCCGAGACTGGAGACAGCACACAGAAGAAACAATCAAATTAAAGGGTAACTCCAGTACTTTTAACCTAAACCATATTTTCCTTTTTTTTTGTCCAAGTGACTAATGGGAACAACAATTTTTGAAACTTGTCCAATATGGAGTGAGAGTGCTGAAGCTGGCAGCAGCGAAATAGGCTGCAACGTAACCACTCTGGGCAATTGTGCACCATCGACGTATGGCGACTCTAAGTGCTTGTTTTTGCCAATGAAAGGCTCATATTGTAATTACAAGTGTCTGGCAACATTATGCAAAGGATCCCTACAGAGATAGACCTTTTTGTTAAAGCATAAGATCTTTTTTTGTCCCCAGAAACAGCCATGAAATCACCATTGCCACACCCACCAGACTCCATACAAATAAACAGTAATTTTAGCATGTATACAGCCAGTACATTTCCACATCTAACTGGGTAAATTAAGGCTTCATTCCAACCAAACTATAGTTGGCTATTTTTGGAACAGTTTAAAGACAAATCTAGATGGCTTTGTGAGTTTATTTTGTTTCCGTTGACTTTGAATGAAGTGTGTTTTACAATGTTAAAATTACTGTTTATTTAAATGGAGTCTGGTGTGTTCGGCAATAATGATTTCCTGGCTGTTTTTGGTTGGACAAAAGTGATCTTACTCTTTAATAAGAAGGTCTATCTCTGTAGGGATCCTTTCCATAATGTTGTCAAACACTTAGAATAACAATCTGAGCCTGTCAGTGACAAAAACAAACACTTTTAATTGACATACATTGACAGTGCAAATTGCCTTTTTCGCCACTGCTGGCTGCAGTGCTCTCACTGAATACTGGACCAGCTTCAAAAATTGTTGTTCCCATAAGTCAGTTAGACACACACAAAGAAAAGGAAAAGGGTCAACATCCAAAAACACCAAACTTATCCTTTTATAATCAGTTTTCATTTATGTCATTTAAATGTCACAATAAAAAGCCATTAGTGGAGAGAAGGGCAATCAGCGTCAAAGAAATAAAAGAACATGTACCAGGTCTGTGATTGGTTTCCCTGGGGGCAGCTTTGGTCGCGATGAGGGTCGAGGAGGAGGAGGCGGAGGGACCGGACTGCCTCGAGACTGAGGCGTGGCGGGACGAGCTGGGGACGAGGGGCCTGCGGCACATACCAGTGACTGTGGTTAGCACTGCCTTCAGATCACAGCGAGAGAGATTATCACTCAACACCAGCTCCAACATTTCCACTCATGACACTTTCACAGAGTGAGTCCTGTGTGCTCTCATTCGAAATGTGGGTTTGACAGTGACTTGTGACCAAAATTAAAGAAAAAATTCGAAGAACTATTTGCGATACTTTAACATAATTCAGTTCTACAATTAAATTAAAAACTCACCTCTTGCTTCTTACTCTTTTTAGGAGCAAAAACAAAAAAGCAGAGCAGCTGTCTGTCTGGTTCTGGGATGCCACAAAATCTGCTAAGCCTGTCTACTTCTCTCTGATATTTCAGACCTATTATTCCGGCAATTTGCTCTTATTTTCTTTGGGATATTTCTCACTGATGACATCCACTGCCAGGTGCAAAAGCTTGACAGGCTTGACAATTATAACCAAGGTGGGTGAGATTCAACAAAAGGTCATTAACCACTGTAAACATTTAGAAAGAGACGAGCGTACTCACTGCTGCCTGAGTAGGGCCCCGGGGAAGACATAATAGACCTGTAGGTGGTTGGAGGGAGAGGAGGTGGCGTGCCCCTGAAGCTCGGCGTCAGCTCTCTGGGTGAACCCACAAAGTCTGGGATATCATCTCTCAGGTGCATCCCCTCTGGAGTCCTCTTTCCCCCGACACTCCCAAGGACCAGGGGAGATATGACTCCTGCCCGAGGAGACCTTCGCTCTGCTGGCAGAGGGGGAATGGGGCTGATGGGGGCAGGAGACGATGAGTACTCTGCAAACTGAAGCACTTCCTCATCGATTGCCTCGTCGTCGAAGCATATAGGAGGAGTGTTAGAGGGGGAGAAGTTGGGAGGCAGGGGAGGGGCCGGTTCATCTGGAGGAGGAGGTCCGAGCACGATGGAGGGGGGTGATTCTGGTGGCGTGAAAGGAGGAGGAGACCCGGGAGAAAACGGTGGAGGTGAAGGCGGGGGCTCGTTTGGTGGCGGTCCTGGAGAGAGGCAGGGGGTGGAGGGGGTGGACGAGGGCGTGTCTGGAGGAGGAGAATCCGGTGGCGGAGGGGGTGCAGGTTCATCAGGCGGCGGGGGTCTGTCATTGGTGAACGTAACCCATCTGGGGGACACTGTTTCCCCACTGCCATCCGCAGGGCCAAACACGTCGTCCAGGTCAGGGGCTGTGGAGCCTCGGTAAGCGGCGGGGGACAGGACGTTCAGGTAGATGGGAGCAGAGCTGCGAGCCGCTCTTCCATTGGGTAACTCAGCTGCAAAGAGTTTGGGGAAGCATTTAGATCACAGCTCTTGTTGGGTTTAACCGTATAATTGATATAAAATGCTGTTTTTAAAGTTAAATTTACCAGCAGATTCTGAAGAATAGCCGTAATGACTTCTTGATGGAATGTTTTTTGGAGGAAGGGGAGGAGGAGCTGCAACAAGGAGGACAGTTCAACACTACAGAGTTCAGCATTTCAGATATATGCTAATGTTTTTAAGGTTAATTCCTGTCAGCTCACCTCCTGTTGGGAAACTTCTGCTCAGCTGTGATTCTGAAGGTGGTCTGGAATCTCCCCATACATCTGAAGGGACCACTATGAATGGATAATAACAAAGAAAAGTCACCTCTGTAAACCTGCTGTATGACATGTTTCGTATCAGTTCATGTGATGATTTCATAATAGGGGACAAACCATCATATCTGGCATATTTGGTCTCTGAAGGCAGCCCAAAAAAGGCAGGAACGTTCTGCGACAGCTTGTCACTGCAAGAGGAAACATAACATTCATCAAAAACAATTTTCTACTTTTTTAAAGGAATACTTCACCCACAAAATAATCATTTGTGTATCAGTTACTCACCATGTGTTACATTAAATTTATCAAGAAAACTTTTTTTTTCACATGCCTCCACGAAGGTAAGAGAATCCAGCAACTGAGAAAATTCTTGATGAATTGAAGTAAAGGGGCACCGCTTTTAACAACAGCAAAACTATATCGAAACATCTGTTTACAAACTCTCACAAAACTTGTGCAGTGTAATCCAAGCCTCATTTATCTAGTTGTATACTCACTAGTTCCCAAACACATCCATCCATCCATCCATCCATCCATCCATTTTAATCTGATTATCAGGGGCCATGTCGCCAGACATCCCTCTCCCTAGCTTTCCAGCTCCTCCCGAGGGCCCCAAGGCGTTCCCAGGCCAGACGAGATATGTAATCCCTCCAGTGTGTCCTGGGTCTGCCCCGGGGCCTCCTGCCAGTGGGACGTGCCCAAAACACCTCCACTGGGAGGCGCCCAGGAGGCATCCTGATCAGATGCACAAACCACCTCAACTGACCCCTTTCGATGCGAAGGAGCAGCTGCTCTACTCCGAGCTCCCTCCAGGTATCCAAGCTCCTTACCCTTTCTCTAAGGCTGAGCCCAGCCACCCCACGGAGGAAAAAAATTTTGGCCGCTTGTGTCCACAATCTCATTGTTTCGGTCACTACCCAGAGCTCATGACTGTAGGTGAGGGTTGGGACGTAGATGGACCACTACATCGAAAAACTTTGCCTTCTGGCTCAGCTCCCTCTGCACCACAACAGACCGGCACTGCACCTGCATCACTGCAGAAGCCGCAGCAAACCACTGATCCATCTCACGTTCCATTCTACCCTCACTCGTGAACAAGACCCCGAGATATTTGAACTCCCTCACTTGAGGCAGTAACTCTCCCCCAATCGGAGGGGGCAATCCACTGGTTTCCAGCAGAGAACCATGGTCTCAGACTTGGAGTTGCTGAATCTCATCCTGACCGCTTCACACTCGGCTGCAAACCGCCCCAGTGCCTGCTAGAAGTCATGGTATGATGAAGCTAACAGAACGACATCATCTGCAAAAAGCAGAGATGCAATTCTGAGGTCCCCAAAGAGGACCCCTTCCTCCCCCAGGCTGCGCCTCGAGATTCTGTGCATGAATATCACAAACTGGATCAGTGACAAGGGACAACCCTGGCGGAGGCCAACACCCACCTAGAAATGCCAAACACCTGCATTTTTGCAAAAAAAAGACATAGTGTTGAAAACATAAACAGAGTAGTGCTCGTGGACGAGCAAGTGCGTTTGAAGTCTGCTTGTCCATTTGCATGATATCAGACAGAACTGTCAGCTCGTTACACCTTGTTTCCATCATTTTAAGATTGCCGTTTAAGGGCTTTTAACTGTGGAGAAGAGTGAAGTAAAAACAAACTACTATGGCAATGGTGATATCGAGAAGACTTGTCAATTTAGAACAATCTAGATAGCTGCGTATATTCGTCTATAGATCATTGTTGTTATTACTCCTCATTGGTTCAGGTGCACTGCTTGACCACAACTTGATAAATAAGACTTGGATTATACTGCACGAGTTGGGTGAGAGTTTGTAAACAGATGTTTTGATATAGGTTTGCTGTTGTTTAATGCAACCCCCCTTTACTCCAGTTTCAAGACTTTGCTCTGTTTTTGGATTCTTTGTTCTCCTTGAAGGCATTCAGTTAGTGGTCAACATTGATAAAAGAGTGACAGACCTTGGCGTCTCAGGGGCAGGACTTGGTGTGGGGGTGGAGCGTCTGGGTCTGGCGATCTCTTCACCTGTGAGAGACATAACAAAAACTCAAATGTTGCTCTGTTGCACAAGTTTTTATTTATACTATCACAGAAAGCTTATTTTAGCCAATCTAGTGGCCTGGCTCTAGGGATGGGAATGTTGGTCTGATGATTGGTCCACCACTTTGGTCCAGACTAAAATAGAGTGACCCAGGAATGAGTCCTAAAACCTGGAAATGAGATAGCATTTCTTCATCCCCAGTTCCTTTGTCTCAAAGTAAGTGGGCTTTTTGAATGGGTTTTTGGTTAGATGACTGAAATAAGGTCTGTGGCTAACACAGGCTGAAGAGACTTTTGTGTTTTATTCTACAACATAAAATACAACATTAAATACCCCACTGTGAATTTTGAAGCTTTTATGTGCCTTAAAAAAAGGAAGAGCATGGAGACAGCTTCTCTGTGTAACTTGCTGTACTTTAATGTCCGAAAAAGAATGTAGGACAAATGAACATCAACAGTGGCATCTCACATCTTAAATACATACATATATAACTCTGCTAAACTTAATCATAACTTATTACCTGCACATAAGGTGCGCAATATTGAATAGGTCCAAATTTAATGTAAAGAGCAAAATAAAACATGTCAACAATATATGAATGTAGTTAACATTAAATTATGTAGATGCTATCAATCTACCGGATACATCCTCACGAAAAAGAATCTCATCTTACACTAACAAGTGGCTAAAAGAGACTACAAGTGTCGCCATGTTGTGCTCTGTGGTGTAGTTGGTTTATAATATTAGCTTTTTACTTCTGGTGATTACATTTAGGCTTCAAAAAACATAAAAGCGGCATTTGTGAAGTTTCATAAACTTTCGTTTGCAACAGAGCTTAGGGCGAAGCTAACTTCACTGCAGCGCTATATATCCCAATAACTATTGGAAGGATTGCCACAAAAGGTGATAGACATTCATTGGCTCCTCAAGGTGAATTTCAATCACCTTGATGATCTTTTACTTTTCATCAAAAGCCATCATCAGGTCAAAATTTCACTTTGTACAAGACTTTGGTTTATGAGCAACACGTGCAAAATTGACATTACCTTCAGCCTCAGCTGTACTTTGTGTTCAGTCCTAATTAACAAACATTAGCATGCTAACACGCTAAACTAAAGTAGTGTTCATGACACACATTTTACCTGCTAACCATCAGCATGTTTGCATTGTTGTAAGCGTGTTAGCATTTATTTTGTTAGCAACAGTTGTTAGCAAAAGGTGTACTTACAGGACAAATTCCTTTTTATCTGCCCCTGTGAAAGACAGAATCCAAACAAATGATAAAATGAGAATATAGTCAGACAGTGTACTGTGAAAGTGTACACCACAAACACCTATCCTTATTAAATCATTTCATTATTCCATTCAACTCTAAGATGTTTTTCCTAGAGGAACACTTTTCACTTGTTTAAGAAAGATTTTTAGACTTAAAACAAAATAACTACTTGACTTAGATGGATTATTCGTATGTTGCTGTGTATCCTTTCACTATCAACTCTTCAATTTAACAGGTCAGACAGCAGGGATTAGAAATTGTGTTTCAGGCTGTCAGCTTTGAAACAGCCAGCAGATGGTGTAAGAAACTCACCGGGCTGCGTCTCTGAGACCAGCAAAAAGGAAGAGAGAACAGACCTGGGTCAGAGAGTGAGTGACAAATCAGTCAAATGGACACCAACTAAAACTGCACACATCGCACCTCTTTACTTGCACCGCAAAGCCTTAATAATGCAACACGAGCCATAACACCCCTCAGATTATGAGCACAACACCAGCATCACCTACGACAACAATGCACACTGTTTAATGTAGCAGATCGCTGGGCATGTAAGCTCCACTGAGACCAAATCAATAGGTCTGGAGCTTTGTGTGTGTGTTATGTTTACTGTGCATTATGTAACACAGATGCTTTGCCAGACAGGTTCAAGTAAAGCTGTAGCTAAACAGAAAAAAAGTCAACAAAAACAAGTGAGGTCTTTCAGGGCCCAGAGAGGACACTGACGCTGAGGGTGAGACAGAAACTGCATGCAGAGAAAAAAGGGTGAAGCCACAAAGGCTGTTTATAAGTGAACTGTCTATCACAGGGAGGAAAACTTTCTCAAGCATTTCAAAGTGATTTCATGCCGTGCGATCCCTGTCGGTGGTGACACAGGTGTGAGAATGAATGACAGGCTTACCGGACTTCTCCTCTACGAGTTGACAGCAGATAAGTGAGAGGAAAAGACAAACACAGAGAGGGCGTAAGGAAGAATTCAACAACTCTTACAATATGTAAACTACAGTGTGTGTGTGTGTGTGTGTGTATGTGTGTGTGTGTGATTTGAGCCCATCAGTGCTGTGTAGCAGAACGAGAGTGCGATCAGCAGTGCTCACCAGAGATGGAGAGAGCGCCAGGCCTCCCACTGAGGCTTTTAGCTCGTCCATAGATGGAGGGACACACTTGGCACTGTCCGCCACGAGCGGCTTGATCTTAATTTTGAACTTCTTCTTGCTGTCCTCGTCGTCCTCGGACTCGCTGGAGGAGAAAAAGTGCTTTCCTTTGGATGCTGGTGAACATGTGTCAAGGACAAAGTAGAATTAAGTACAATACATACTGTAAATGACAGAGGCTACATCAGGGGACCTATTATGCCTTTCCCTGTTTTGTGTCCTATATTTATCAGTTGCAGGGGTATACCAGTTTTAAGGTATACCGTGATGGTTATCATACCGCTTGCTTATTTACAGTATTTCCTAACGCTCTGAGTAGTCTGTTTCCAATATTTTTTTCTACTCTGGCAAGAGTATGACATCTTAGCGTGCCAGATTTCTTTATACAGTCATCTTCTTACTTTGCATAGACCACACTGCTACATGACGAATACCATGCCATTGTTCCAACAGACCAAAATTCTTAAGCAACATTAGTCCAAAAAATGTCCCACTGGACCAAAAACCCATTTCTCCAATCAATCAATCAATCAATCAATCAATCAATCAATTTTATTTATAAAGCCCAATATCACAAATCACAATTTGCCTCACAGGGCTTTACAGCATACAACATCCCTCTGTCCTTATGACCCTCGCAGCGGATAAGGAAAAACTCCCCAAAAAAAACCCTTTAACGGGGAAAAAAAAACGGTAGAAACCTCAGGAAGAGCAACTGAGGAGGGATCCCTCTTCCAGGACGGACAGACGTGCAATAGATGTCGTACAGAACAGATCAGCATAATAAATTAACAGTAATCCGTATGACACAATGAGACAGAGAGAGAGACAGAGAGAGAGATGCAGGTAATGACAGTAGCTTACAACAACATTATTGAAAGTAATAATATTATAGTTATAGTTCTGGCTACTGTGGTACAATATGTTGAAAGTATGTATTAATATCTGGCAGTATACATGTGTGACAATAGTCATATGTGTATAATAACAGTAGAAGTATGACTAATGACTAATGATGGCAGCAGCAGCAGGAGGCATCTGGCAGGACCACGGCAGCAGCACAACCACACACGTCACGCTGTCCAGGCACCGCTGCGATATGAGTTAATCTGAGAGACAGTGGAGCACAAAGGCTCCGGAGAAGAAGCCGAGTTAGTGACATCCAGAATGGCCGAGTTAGCAAGATGCAGTAATAGAATACGAGAGAGAGAGAGAGAGAGAGAGAGAGAGAGAGAAGGAGAGAAGGTGCCCGGTGTATTATAGGGGGGTCCTCCGGCAGACTAGGCCTAAGTCAGCCTAACTAGGGGCTGGTACAGGGCAAGCCTGAGCCAGCCCTAACTAGCTTATAAGCTAACACCTCTGTTATCCCAAGAGCAACTGCCCATCGCTCCAAAGTCACGTTTCTCCAGAAATAAACACTTCCTGCGGTTAGTTTCAGTTTCCCAGCAGCATTTGAGCCACCAAACCCAGATGCTTTTTACCAACCTGTCCCTGCATTTCCAGCAGCTGCTGTGCCACCAAATGTGAGTGTAATAAGTCAGAATTTGATCTTTTCCTGACCCTCAACACATTCACTACAGCATCGTTGGGAAATGTAAAGTTTCAGTGTATCCGCTACAAAGTAATGTTCAATTGTGACATATCCATGGTCAACAAAAACGTACAATGCCAACATTTTTTCTGGTGATCGGGCTGTCTAACTGCAGGGAGTGTGTATTTTCAGAGAAAACAAACTTCAGAACAATAAGTGTGATAACAGGCTGTGAGAGAAATTAGCTTTCAATCCAAGGGGACATTTATCCGACCAACAGGGTGAATTTGGAGCCATCCGAACAATGGGCAGTCCCAACATGAAGCTGCATGCTAATGTCAGAGAAACTTGTATTGTGTCACTATTGTGTCATATGGATTACTGTTAATTTATTATGCTGATCTGTTCTGTACGACATCTATTGCACGTCTGTCCGTCCTGGAAGAGGGATCCCTCCTCAGTTGCTCTTCCTGAGGTTTCTACTGTTTTTTTTCCCTCACTAAAGGTTTTTTTTGGGGGAGTTTTTCCTTATCCGCTGTGAGGGTCATAAGGACAGAGGGATGTCGTATGCTGTAAAGCCCTGTGAGGCAAATTGTGATTTGTGATATTGGGCTTTATAAATAAAACTGATTGAAACTGAAATTGATTGTAAACTTGATTGCCAATGTTGTCAATGTCTGATCGATTTTGCATCATATTCCGGCTAGAACATGCCTGGTTGTGTTGGCAGGATTTCGTTTGTGTTTTTTCAAGGTAGAAAGTGACGCTATTCTCCACTAGTGTCATTCCCCAGCTGCAAGTACACTGCTAACATACATGTAGCTACATGCTAACGTCAGGGAAGAGTACGTTTTTTGGTTGCTGATGTTGTTAATTTCTCCCTAATTTTGGATATATTCCGGCTTTTATTGGTGGTGTTTTTTTATGGTAGAAAGTACCACTAACCAATCAGAGCAGACTGGGCTTTTTTGTGTGGCGGTTTAAATAGACAGGCACTAAAACTGAGTGTTACAGATAGAGAGTGAACACAGGTGTGCATGTAGACATGTTCTGATAGACAAGTGAAAAGCCAATCTGAATGTAATGTGTCTGTCCGGCAGCCCTCCTGCTCCCCTCTGGGTTTTTTTTTTTTTTTTTTTTTTTACAGCTGCAGGGACATACACATGTGATGTGGCAAGAGAGGGAGGGACTATTGATTTGGCCTATTTAATGCGGTGAAGCACTCATCCAATGAGTCACTCAGCCAAACAGGTCAATAGATGTGTAGGAGAAGAGTCCCAGGACTGCTTCCTGTCTCAACTGAAAGGATATCATCACCCTCGTCACCGGGCCGCAGGCTGAAGCCCTCCTCGTCCACGTCAGGAGAGGCCTGGAGAAGAGAGAGGAGAAAGGTGACAGTGTTTTCCAGCCCGTCACACACTGTAACAGAGGCACCACTGAACTCTTTCTTGTGAAAAGCTCTGCATATAAATGCGGATCAGATTTCACAGATGTCTTGCCTGAGACGGTCAGCTTCCTGGCTGAAGCTGCTGCTGACTCACAGAATATGCAGCTATCAGTCTGTTCACCCCGTTTACTCAGTAATTTTAAACCCAGCAGATAACGTGACACTGATTGTGCCACAGTGCAGTACAAGTAGGGAAGCTGCAAAGTCAAAATCATCAAAACGAGGGAGTAGCAAGTAAAACAAGTTGGAGGCTGCGCGTACTTACATATCTGTCCCAGTCAATCTCCCCATAAAAACCATTCGGTGCTCCATTGGCCTTTTTCTAGCAACAACAATGAGAAAAAAAAGAATAATGAAAAGAGAAGAAGTAAGTCAGTGCAAATGATAAAGTGGAAATAGACCCTTTTTTTTTACTTTGAGAAAGATCTGGAAGAGCACATTATCATTCTGCTATAGAGGGAAAAAAACGCTCTGGACTGTTTGTATTTCTTTAAACCAATCACAATTGTCCAAGGCAAAGCTAAGCCCAGGATGCAGCGACGGTGACCTTGCAGAATAGCATTGAGGGGGACGCACAGAATGACAGAGGCCACATGTGAGCATCACACGGTTATCATTGGAATTGTCTAACAGCTCAGTGTTGGGTGTTAGCGCTGCTGCTGTGTTAGCTCGTGCTAACCGGGCAAACTTGCCAGAAGAACAGCGTCCCCGGGACAGCTGCAACGGAAAGTTTGTTGATCCGGTGAGGAGATCAGACCCCCGGCGCAAAAGAATCAAATTTAGTAATGTTTGACTGGAGACGTTTTGAAAGATGTGGTGCTGCAAAAATAAGGCCAAGAGAATAATTTAAGATCCCAACCACCCGGATAACGGCCTTTTCTCCCTGCTGAGATCGATAAAAAAGTACCAGTTACACTAGGTCAGCACTGAGAGGCACAAGGATGCTAAATAAAGACCCTGCCTTGTTTTTCATAGCAAAGGGGATTTTGAAAACAGTAACACACAGGTAGTAGAGGAGAAGAATCCCAGCCAAAGAGCAGAGCAGATCAACCAAAGTGACTGTGGAAACTCAAAAGAAAGAGAGCCCCAATACTAGGCTCTGAGGAAAACAGGAAGCAATACAGCTGTCTTTGTGACAACAGTGGCAACAACAATAATACCACTTGGAAACACTGGGGGGGTTAATTTTGTAGTTATGGTGATTATTCCTGTCAGTAAATTAGCGTTGTAGAAACCAAGTAAATTTTGGCTAAATTGCTAAAAAAACAAAAGTATGACTGGTCAAGAAATATGAGCAGCCAGATGAAGAAACGGTTTGGTTTAAAAATTCATGTTATGCTAACTTATTTGGAAGAAAAACAAAGACAAACAGTAAAACTTGCACCCAAACTGTCAATTGTAAACATCCATTGTGAGTTACAGACTGACCGTCTTGTTTAACTTTGAGCGAATTGATGCAGTTGTGTGCACACAGTTTTCCTGTGTAGTGAGGGATTATACAGACATTTCAGATAGGCTTACTTTTGTTTTTAATCTCCAAATAAAGTGGTTTAGACAAACTGTTGGCTTGTTTACAACCTGTCAGATTGTCTGCTTTGTCAGCCTTTGATGTCGTGACGTCTCCAGATCTCAGCAGTTACCATGGTGAGTACACAGTTATCACAATGAAATACAAAACATGGCCAAAACTACAAAAAATAGCATCCAACTTGTGATAAACAGGAGTTCTGATGTAGTGTGTTCAGACACACTGTGAATCAGAGGGGGTAACAATGTCCAAATTATCAATCATCACTTTATCATTTATGGATTTGGGTGATTTCCTTTGTAAACAGCCTATTTCTTTACAAATTCTGAGAAGAAGAGAGAAAACAGAGAGAAAACTTAAAGAGCAAGTTCAGTTTAGTTTATTGAAATCTTAATGAAATCACAGAAATTCAGTTCAGCGTGTGGTGAGCACCTGATCCTTGAGACTGGCTATGCAGATGGAGTTCTGTTTAGTTTAGTTTAGTTTAGTTTGGGTAAAATGAGTTTAGTTTAGTATAGTATAATTTAGTTTAATCTGATTTAGTTTTGTTTGGATTAGATTAGGTTAGTCTAATTTAGTTTAGCTTTGTTTAGATTAGTTTAGTTTAGTTTAGTTAAGTTAATTTAAGTTAAGTTAAGATGGTAATTTTCCAACCTATAAAACTAAAATCCACTGGCAGATAGACAATAAATAAACATTAATTTAATGGGGGGTTTTTAGCATAAAAAAGATAAACAAAAAAAAAAAGATAACAAAACAGGACTAAAAAGGTGTCAGCTGAAGCCTTAGGTTATTACACCTACCCTTTAAACATACATTATTTTTGTCAGCTCCCTTTAAATTACACAGAGCAATAAGAAACTGTCTGTCAGAAACTAAGTATATATACATTATATAGGCCTCTGCCCAAATATTCCTGTACACTAGTGTTCATATTTCTGTTTTGTATTTGTTGATCAGCTTGTGTTTAAACAATGAAATAATAAATAAGTAAAATGTAAGTACATTTCCTTTCTTTCTGCTTCCAGTTCCGTCTTTGTCAGGTGAACTCCTGTTAAAAGAAACAAGGAAGAGGAAAAATTTATATCATAACACTGGTGCCAATACAATATTTGCAGTTTTAACGCTTACTTATAAACAAATACAAACATGTTTTCTGTCATTTAACAAATATCAAAACATGAACAGCAGTGCAAGAATGTTGCCTAATTAAAGTAGTCTAAAATTAGCAAAATCCTTAATTAAATCAGGAACCATCTCATCGTAGAATAAGTTAAAAAACATTACATATCCAACCAAACATTCATATTTGACAGTTTTTTGTACTCGATGCTAGAGACAATGTTCAGTCTGTACCATAAGACTATTTTTTGCTGCTTTGGGTCAGTTTTGTTTGTTGTTATATTATACATTTCATATTATCTGATTAATTTTATTGATGCATTAAAAGGATGCATCAGTTTAATCTATGAATTTGGATCATATTTAATGAGACGGTAATATGTTTTGTATGTAAAATCTTTATATGCAAAGTACCTCGTGACCACAGCTGCTATACAAATGTTGGGCAGCTTAAAGACAATATAATATTGGAAATGTGGTGGAGTATAAAGCAGCATAAAACTGAAACACTCAAGCAAAGTACATGTTCGTTGCCATAAGACTAAATAGGTTTGATATTCATTCACATTGTCAGAGTTAAATGGTTGTAAAACTCAGCATGTTCATCGTGTGACGAGTGTGAGCAAACTCACGCTGCATCTGTGTCCTTGTCTCTCTTTCGTAAGCCCAAGGCTTTCCTGGTTCGGTTTTTCAATCCTGGTGCAGACAGAGTGAGAGAGGGAGAGCGACATCATGAAGAATTAATTTAACACTTTAGAGCCTAATGTAAACTTAACAGTCCTCCCATTAAAATACACTTAAAAGGAAAAACACAGAGCAGTAACAGGCTGATGTACAGTAACTCGAGGATGAACCTGTTGTAGTGGACGCACAGGAAATAGAGTCACCCCAATAAACTGATATAAATGAATGTATCGATCCGATACACAAACATCCTGCCGTCTAGAGAAAGCTTCCACAGAAAATGAAGCAGCGCAGACGCAATCCCCTAAAGTGTCCCCTCCCTGACTTTATAAAATGGGAGGAAAAGACGAGGTTGATGAATGTGTCCACTTCATTAGTGAGATTCGAGGGAGCGAGGGGGGAGATGTAGTACGGCAGCAACTGTCAGCCAAACCGGGTGCCAAGACCCCTGCAGCACTGACGGTTGGCACCATGCAGCTAGAACCAGGACGACTGGGAACACAGAAAGAAAAGGACATAATTCACTGCTTGGAGCTGTAGTGCAATGTTTCATCTGTGTTATTATGTGTGTGTCACTGACTAACAGTATGTGAGATGAATCAATAAACACTGAATAAACTACAATGTACAAAAAGAAGCAAAACTAGAAACATATTTCCCATAAGCCCTGGACCTTTGGGGGCTTACCGTTAGGGGTGACACATACCCTCTGGTTTTAAAGTAGCAAGTAGTCACATTGAGAAAAAAGAAATCATGTATACAATCCAAAACTTTCGCTGCATCAAAAGGCATCAAACGTTTTATAGTTGCATCATAGCCCTCTGAATCAGAGTCGGATTGAAACGTGAGGTGCCTGGAGATTTTCTATCCCCACTAACCGTCATGGCTCCACAACAGAGGAGAGTCCACAGATGAGTTGAGGGGTTGTGATGAGCTCAGAGCAGCAGAGATGATAGATAAAGGGTTGGAAAATGTACTTTTATGGATGCGGATGAAACCAAGTTGTGAATTTTCATGTGGGCTCTATTGTTTTCTGTACTGACACAGTGACTGTTGTTAAAATCACTAAGCAACTAACAGCAGACTTTTTGTGAGTTTAGCATGCTAGCATACTGACACACTGATCTTTACCATGTATTGTTGTGGTATATGTTTAGCGTGTTAGCATGCTAACATTTGCTAGTTAGCACTGGTCACTGTGCACAGCTGAGGTAAGAGATATTTCACTGGATAAAAACTTTAACCAGCTTGTGGTGCAAGACGAAAAGTCAAAGGACGCCAAAATTCAGAGGGATTCATCTCAAGACAATGGCATTAATGTGATCATGGCAAGTGTTGGGTGGACAGACAGACCAACTGATCACAGACAGACAGACATTTCCATCCATAGAGACACGCCGAAAACAGAAAATAAGCATTTGATTTTGATGATAAAAACAGACACAGAAATGAAAGAAGTCATAGGAGTGCCATAAGAAAAGGAATAAATTTGTAGAAAAATTAAATAACAAATGACACTATAAAAAACCATATAAAGTAAATATAAATATATACATACATAAAAATCAAATGCAAAAATATTATAATATATTTCTAAAAATATATAATAAAGATACGTAAAAATAAATCAACAAATAAATTAAAACAATTATTCTTTCATATTTCATTTTTCTGCGTATTTCCAATTTAAAAAAAGTATTATTATCTGTTTTTTTCTTTATATTTTCCACATTTATGTTCTTATTCTTTTACAGATTTATTATTTTGTCATGCCATTTCTATGACTCCATTTGCAGACTTCTCTGTCAAATTGAGCCTCAAGGCTACTCTGTGTTAATCTGTCCTGCTCTGTGCATGCACTAATAACAACAGCAAGGACAAGCCGAGGCAAACTGATTTGTTGTCAGCAAACTTTTTTGACACTTAATGCACCTCAATGAGTTAATTAACCTTGACAATCCTCCTGCTCACTTCAGGTTAAAGATGTAAATGCAATTTGACTGTATTCAACATGTACTTGTATAACACTTTTGGTCAGATAAAAACAGTTCACTAGATTTGTATGAGAAACACTTACTGCAAGAAAGTTACCAGCAGCTGCATCCCCTGCTGGCAAAAGAAATCACTTGAGTGTACTTTTCTCTTTTGTATGTATTATCTATGGTGTGGACATGTTTCTCCTGGAGGAAGCATGTGACTGGTTTGCGTAACAGTGTTTTAGAAAACAAGAGAACACAGCTGATTCTTGCATCCATTCAAGAGCAACAGGGACACATGTGATGGACAGTTGGGTGGATGAACATTTTGTGCTGCTCACAGGCAGCTCAGTGTGTTTATCGTCTTCTTTCGTTATTTGTAGGTCGTATTTTAAAACAGGAACACTAAACAGACATTTTGTATTTATCTTTTTTATATAATATTGAGTCCTGTAGTGATTATTGTGTTTTAAAGTCTGCTGAGAGGAGAAGTAAATCAGACTGACTCGAAAATCAAGATAAATTCTGAGTCATTGATTTGGTGAATCATCATTTACACTCACACTGAAATAATAAGGCTAATGAATAGTATAAATGTAAAAGGCGCTGCACCAGACTGGTGCTCAGTACCATTAACTTGGGATGAAGCTCTCCCGGATACTGAAGGACATGTCAGGGCCTGTGATGTATTAGTAGCTAGCCAGGCTGCTCAATAGCACAGATTATTCCTGCATCATGGCTCTTTATCAGTGGAGACAGCTCTGAACAGCGGGCCTCCTGTCCACTCCGAACCTGCACGTGTCTTGTATGATAAAGAGTAAAAATAGAAAATCAATCCCGACATTAATATGTGACAAACATGCTGAACAATATGGTACATTCTGAGCACGAGCAGACCGGTCTGCTTTTGTAACCCATTTACAAAGTTTGCCCAAGGAGAGCCCGGCAACACTCATTAGACAGTGTAATTAAAGGTTCAGTGTGCGGGATTTAGGGGGACATACTGACAGAAAGGGAATATAATATAATGAGTATGTTTTCTTTAGTGTATAATGACCTGAAAATAAGAATTGTTCTGTTCAGGTGCTTCAATCAAACTCAAGTTCGATTGCCCCCTAAGAGCAGTTGGCTTGGGCAGGTGTGAACATAGTGATCACACTCAGGTGTGCACCAAAACAAATGGACCAAGACCTTCTCCACCGAGAGGTGGACTCGGTCCGGTGACAAACGAACTGTGGTGCGGTTCATTTGTGGTGAGAACGTGTTCCAAACTCGATCTGAACCAACTGCAGTCACATGACACATTGTTTGGGTTAAACATGAGCATGTTACAGTCCTGGAGGATTATTAATGTGCACCTCCTCCTGTACTGCCTTAATATGCACATTCAGCACATCCAATGCATCAAAATAGTGATGGGATTTCTCGTTCACTTGTGAGAGCCAGTTATTTGGCTCTCGTTCACTTTGAAGAGCCGGTTCAAAGATGCGGTTCGTTTTTTTTTTGTTTTATGTTTTTTTTTTTTCGCTGTGTGTGTGGGGCGGGGGGTGTTAGTGGGTTCAACGACGAATCGCATTACTGATTTATCGCATCACGTGATTTGGATACTGTAACTTGGACCCAGAATAGACTCCGCAGATATAAAGTTTGGTACTAGACCGTTTAATGTTTGTCTTTTAACTGTCACGCTGGACTAGTGATGTGACTTTCGCAAAAGAGCTGAGTCTTTGAATCGGCTCTGCACTGCTCTGAATCTGCACTGTCTTTCTCCCTCACAAACTAGTCTCTCACAACTTGTTCCGGATCAAATAATTTGAAATTAATGGATACAGAGTAAATTAAAGCAAAAAACAAATAAATTAGGAACTGGCTTGTTCACTCTAAAGAGCCGGTTCACTCATTCACTTCAAAGAGCCGGTTCAAAGATTCGGCTCGTTTGCGAACGTCACATCACTACATCAAAACATTGTTTTCTAGTTGGAGCCGCACCTCGTTTTCAAACTGTATGGTTTGTCCCTCCATTGTGACATTAGAAAGTGTCAAATTTATCTTGCAAGTGGACTCTTCAATGTTTTGTTTACTTCCTGGATTTTTCCCGCACGAAAATTCTGACCAATCAAGAGCAGCTTTCTCACATAAGTCTTTGATCTGGTCCACTTGTAAATGCTGCCGTGAGAACACAAACCAACTCTAGGCAATTATACAACTTTGTAACAAAATTAGTCCCTGATTTGGACCAAAGCAAGACAACTCTAGGTCTGAAAGCACCTTAGAATGAGCCATTTATACCTACATAGGGAGCAGATCCACGTCCATAAAGTCTGCCATATTGCATCGCCATGTTTGTACAGCAGCCCAGACTGGACAAACCAAACACTGACTCTAGATAGGGCCATTTGCATTTTCGCTTTGGCTACCATAGTTGGCAGCCCTTTCACGACAAGCAGTGTTGGAAAAACACTTCTTTTTTTTTATTATCATGAAACTGCTTTATTCAGTGTTTCTATCAGTTTAAATCACCTGGTCCGTTTGTTTTGCAGATGAGGAGACCTCTCCGTTTAACCAAAGATACTGGATTACTACAAGATGGCCCACCTACAATATACTCCCATTGTAGGAAATGGTATACATTTCCGGTCTCCTAAGTAGGCGTTGTCCCCCATACCCCAATCAAAGACGATGGAGAACCGCCAAACAAAGACGAGTATCCCCAATCTTGCTTCTGTCAACATGTGTGTACCCTTACTGGCCGTAAGCTAAATAAATAAACGGTCCGTGTAAAAAAATATTTTTTCCAGCAGATGTCTTAGTTACAACATTATTGAGCTAACTGGAGTAGTTTCATGTTGTGTCTGACAACGGGAGGCTTTTAACAGATGACGTCCTGATGTTAGCTTTGCTGCTGCTGTTAGCTGTCCCTGTCAGCTGCAGCCAATGATGCTTTCTAGACATCGTGATTTCCCAAAACTGAATAAATACCACACATAGCAACACAAAACTGCTTTGCTAGCTCAATCATGGTGTAACTAAGATATCCGCTGGAAAAAATATTTCTTTAATCCAGTATCTTTGGTGAAACTGCACTGATTTCAGCACCAGAGAGGAGATATCTGTTGCCAGATCTCGCTAGAGTGTGTTGTTGAGACAGAGACAGGTCTTGAACAAAGTAAATTTTCTCCTGATTTGTCCGTCTGAAATTTGCCATTTTGGTGTCGGAATGTTCTTAAGATATGTGGCTTGTGATAAATGGGTCCAATATTTGCTTCCGTGACTATGGGGCGAAAGAATCGGCCATAATCTGTAATCACGTTCATTTCTCCCACTGAAGTCAATGGACTCAGGACCTGCTGTTAGTCTCCTAAAGGGGCGTGGTGGTCGTGAACCCCACGTGACACTGATACAGGAAACTGACTCGCAGTGGACTGTCTTGGTTTATCCACCGTCTTTGATATAACTCAGCTCTGGAGTCTGGTGGGTTTGGTGATGGCGATTTCAGGGCTGTTTCTGGTTAAACTATAACAATCCTACTCTCTAAGAAAAAGGTCTATGTCTGTAGGGATCTTTTCTATAATGTTGTCAGACACTTAGAATAATAATCTGAGGTTATCAGAGCCAAAGACAAACACTTTTAGTGGACGTAAATTGATGGTGCATAATTGCCATTGCAGCCTGTTTCGCAGCTGCTGTCTGCAGCCCTCTCGTTCAGTACTGGACCAATTTAAAAAACTTTTAGTCACTCTGACACAAAAACATGAGAAAATGTAGTCCAGGTGGAGAAATACCATACTTATCCTTTAACTCAAGGTCCACACACTAGAAATCTTTCAGCTGCATTTTGTGGCAATCATGATCAGAAAGGTGTGATTAAAAGATGTGATTAAAAGCTCCAGAGGAAATGTTGCAAGTTGACCTTGACCTTTTTTTGGTCAAAGTTTTTTGGTTTCTGACTGTTTGTCCTCTTGGTTTGATCTTCTGAAAAGCTCACCAAGGTCACTCTTTTCAGCTGCTTACTCTTAAACCTCCGTTGAGAGAGTTTCCAACAAATATCTGAACAAACCCCTCAGGTACTGTTGTAAATTTCTAAAACAGACAAGCTGTCAGTTATTATCCATGCTGGTTGTCAGTTTTGCATAGGTGTGAAAAGTCTTTACACACCTACCTCTGCCACACCAACGGTAATAACACCATGCTTCCTAATAGAGAGGTGGTTTGAATCAAATAAGATAGATAAAATCAAAAAGCAACCACTTCTTTGTACATTTCATGTTTAAAGGTACATCAGGAAGTGTGACTACCTGTGTTTTGAACTATATTTCAGTTTTAATTTGATGATTTGAAACTGTCAAGGAAACCTTGTGTCATTGGTAGCTGGCAAACAATCAAATGGCACATTAAACTAATTCATACTTGTAATTCATATTATTCTGTAGTACACCCTTTTCTATGATGTCTAGCATCAAAGCCCACCTTCTGATTGGCTTTACAATGTAGTCGGATGATGCGTTGTGCATCCTTTTGTCTATTTAAGTGTTCTCAGCAACTGATTGCCTTTCTCAAGGAGGTTTCAATTTGTGGCAAGTTAATTTTCGTACAGTCCTGGCATTAGCTGCATCTCAAGGCGGCCTGGAAAGATGGAAATCTGGTAAATTAGTGTAAACTATGTATGATTTCAACCCAATTGCCAGAATAAATGTTGGCATTGTATGTTTCGGTAAACCACAGATATGTAACATTGCTACATTATTATGTAGCAGAAATGTTGAAAATGTTTCTTTACATTTCAGCAACACTGTGGTTAATGTCTGGTTATGTTAGGCACAAATGCTGCTTGGTCAGAGTTAGGAAAAAGTTTATGTTTTGGCTTAAAGGTCCAGTGTGAAGGATTTAGGGGGATATATTGGCAGAAATGGAATATAATACGTATATGATCTTCAATGTGCGATCACCTTAAAGTAAGAATAGTTGTGTTCTAGTTACCTTAGAAGGAGCGGGTCCTTGTCCATGGAGTCCGCCATGTTTCTACAGTAGCCCACAACAGACAAACCAAACACTTATGCTGTGTCTCAAATCACATACTTCTGTACTTACACTTACTATTTTGAGTTCATAAGTGCGTTCACACTGAGACATATGGAAAAATGCAGTGCACTATGAGTACCCAGATGGTGCACTCAAAATGGTTAGAAAGTTGAGTGTGGAACTATGGACACTTCTCACCACCAATGGTCGCCATCTTGGCTACATAGCAGAAGGGGAGGGGCCACTTTTCAAACTGGAAATAGCAGCCGAGAACCGTGTGACCGTGAACGTCGCTGCATTGTAAATTCACGTGTTTTTTGCACTAAGCACCACTATACTGTTGTCGGGTATAAGCCAGCAGTATGTTTGTTGGGTTAATCTAGCAGTCTGTAATGATTTGGTACCATGAACGATAACACGAATTCTAATGCTAGTTTGCTAACTAGCTAATTTGCGGTCGTCATTTATTGTGAGTGCACAATGGCCGTGTTTGGTTTGAAGCAACACTACCCTGTCGAAATTTGCGCACTACACCAATGAGTACATAGTGCACATAGTACTATACTAATACTACATAGAAGTGTACTAACAGAAGTCTGTGATTTGAGACACACCGTCTGTCTAGATGGGTCATTTGCATTTTTGTGTTAGCATCTTAGTTAGCAGCCGCTCTGTTGTGAGAGCATCGAATAAACACTGATTTTTAATTGTGAAACTGCTTTATTCTGTGTTTTTACCAGTTTAAACCACCAGATCTGATTGTTTTCGAGAGAAAGAAACCTCTGCAGATAATTCGGCTCCCAGTAAAAAAACACCAAAATGTCAGGATCTTAATTTATTAGACAATAAATGTGAGCACATAATAAGTGGCTCATCTGCAACATGTCGAACAGCATTGGAAAAACACAGATTTGAAATGTTAAACTGCTTTTTTCAGTGTTTTACTGGTTTTAATCACCAAGTCCATTTGTTTTGGAGAGGAAGAGACCTCTGCGGATAATTCGGCTCTCGTTAAAAGCCTCCTAAACAATGAACACTGGAGGAATTCTAACTGGGAGAAGCTTCAGCTGGTTGCAATCGGCAGTCAGTCTCACTTAGTTAGATGCCACTAAATCCCCTAAATCAGCGGTTCCCAATTGGTTTAAGTAGCACAGTAAATTTCCAGCACAGAGTTTTTATTTTGAAGTGCCATTTCCGGCTGTAGCATTAGTGACTAACTGACAGCTACTTGACAGAGACAGCAAGTATGATGCTAAATGTATTAAACTGTGGGACCTCGAACTAATGACTAAGGAGAAATCTGGACCCCGTGGCAGGACCAGTTGGGAACCACTGCCCTAAATGTTACACACTGCTCCTTTAAAGCACCTGATTTGTTGGCACAGTTGCTGCTGGAAATGCCGCCAACCCGTTTTGTTGTTCATCGATCTCCAACAGTGGTCTGCAGCTTGGCAGCCATCAAAGTCAGCTCGTATACACGTAATCAGACTATCGTTACATCACCTGAGAAATGCTGATATAAAAATACAGATGTAAGGTATCCGTGGTTTGCAAGAACATACAATACCAACATTTTCTTCTGATGTGTGGGCTGCATGATTTGTAGTTGAAACAGGCGAAAACACTGTAATGGACCTTGGAGACGATGTCAAGCCACAGTTGACAGATCTCAAACTTTTACTGGTAGTTCAAAAAGAGGTCATTTGCACAAATTTGATCAAAGGCTAAGATGCTCATTTCAAACTGAGAGAGATTGTCTGGGTAGTCTAACATCATAAGCCATGTCATGGGCATTCTGCATCAGCAAAAAGGTTGTCATTGCAGCACATGTACTGCAGCCATGTTCTGAGTCAAAGTAACATCTACTGACTGTCACTCACTGCACCTGACAGTCTCTATTGTGCAATCTGCAATGCACGTGTAGCTAACGAGGGTTATGATAAGCATGTGACACCACATCTGTGCTGTTGTGTAGCTAATGAACAGAGTACAATACCATGGTAGGCTGACTGCAGGCCTTTTGCTAATAATAGCCAACTTCCATTACCACATTGGCATTAATGGATGGTAAAGGCCCAGCATCTGTCATGGAGGGTTAGATGTATGATTCAGCTCCTCCATCATAGTTTACGATGTACTTTAGTTCATTCCACCACTGTTAACTTTGGTACAGCATGTTTTAATTCACTGAATGCAACACAGGCACCAGATAATGGTTGGTTTGAGCATCACCTGTCCTGTTGGCATGATATAATATAATCAGCAGGGGTATGAATGAGTGCAGCTTCCTGGACTCCCCGAAATCTGTATTTCTATGACACAGACTGAGTGTGCAACTAAAGACAGACCTATAATGTGCACATGCAAACAGAGACATGTAGACACACGTGTGAACACACAGAAGCAGGTGCAGAACCACACTGCTCCTCCTTTACAAATCTACACCTCACACACACCTTCGCTTTCATCTCACATTGTCTATCAATCTGTCACACACTCACAGCGACACTGTCACACTGGTCATGCATGCAGCTCATTTCAGCTCCTCACGTTACGACAGATCACATCACTGGATTCACTAGCCTTTAATGGCCCAGCAGGACACAAGAGGGCAGGAGGAGGACGCGGGGGGGAACATGGGAAATAAAGGAGTGCACAGATCATTTACCTTGCATCATGTTTGCAGATTTTCATCCTATGTTGCCCTCCTGAGCGCAGGCAGACAGAAATAGAGAAATCCAGCCAGTCAAAGGATGCCAGGGCAGGGCATAGCTAATTCTGCACAGCTCCCCAGCGAAACACGATGTTGATTCCCTCCACCCCCAAGGGCCCAACTCCCAGACACCCTTACAGGGAGGTGGGGTGGGGGTAGAGCTCTGAGGAAGCAGCAGTGGTGGAGGACACAGTGAGGAGAGTCACCCGAGGAATATGCAGCAAATCGGGGGGATGGTGGGGGTCCTGTCTGTGTGCACGTTAGGCCCCGGCCGCCCGAGCAGCACCGACACACACCATCTCTGAGAGGGGGGATGCTGAGGAAAGGCAAAGGAGAAAAAAAGCAGAGCGGTGAAGAGAGAGGGAGAGGCAGAGAGAGGCAGAGAAAGACTGGGAGATAGAGGGGAGGAGGGAGGGAGTGGGAGGCTCGCTGATGTCACATCTGCACTAAACCAATCCCTGCAACCATGGTCACATGGCTGCTGTCCCCTGATGCCTTAGCACCTCTCGGCTTGCCTCGAGCAGACACTCTACAGCCATCTGCATACATATTATACAAGGTCTCACAAAATATAATCTACTACTTATAAAAGCTAATTTAAATCAAAATGAAATGTTGACTTTAATGTGCTTTTAAAAATATACTGTTAGCGGATTTTTTTTTTTTTATCATTGAAATGTGATTCAATTTCTATTTATATTTTTTGGGCACTTGAGCTTTACAGGACAGCGAGGAGCAAAGATAAAGGCACAAATCCAAAAAGTGGGACAAATGCATCACTCACCCAAAGACATGCAGACAAACACAGGATAAAAATAAGAGGTCAGGCTCTGTTAAAAAAAGCCTTAAGTTTCCTCAAAACCTTTGTTGAAATCATGAATAGGCTGGGAAAAAAATCAAATAGAAGAGGAAGGATGATTCCATCATTTTTTTGGACAGTTACTGAACCACATGATTTTGTCCTTGAGTGCGCAGCAGATAAAAGCTCTGATAAAAAGGGGCCTCAGGTTTCTGAGAGAAAAGAGTTCAGCAGTATGCACTGTATGGTGGAGACAATGCAGTGCTTTTTGTACAAATATTCTAAAGGGGGAGTGAAATAACTAATACTGTTTATTTTGTTTTTATCTTGTTAAGAGGTTTTGCTGTTGTGTCTGTGTCTGTACTGTTGTGAAGGTTAAAAAAAGAAGTCTGACTGATGTCAAAATAGAAAGTAACTGACTTGTTTAAATAGGACAGCATAGATATGTACAACTTACTCTGAGTTAAAAATGTTAAAACACACATTAAACATTGGTTGATAGAGACAGTTTCACAAAGTACACAAATCAGCTTCACTATAACTTCCAGCATTCACAGATAAAGCACTTGTCTTTATCTGGACACATTTTCCCCACAAATACAACATGCTAACATTTTTAGCAAAAGCCTATGGCATTTTACATTGTATAAATTAGCCTAACAGCTTGCAAACTTTTCCTCTACTCATATGAAGCCAGGGACAACAGCAACATTTAACAAAGGTAACATTACAAAATTCAGCTCCATTACAACTCACAAGGTTCATTGACAAAACAACTGTCTTATACTAAATACGTTTTCCAAACAAATATAAGATGCTAACATTATTAGCACAAGCCTATGGCATTTTACATTGTATAAATTAGCCTAGCAGCTAGCAAACTTTTCCTCTACTCATATAAAACCAGGGGCAATAGCAACATTTAACAAAGGTAACGTTACAAGATTCAGCTCCATTACAACATTACAACAAGTGTAGGCTCTACGTCGACACAGAGCCTACTTCATAGGTGCAGCGTTGATTCAACACAGAAGTATAAATTCAGCCTAAGTCCAAATTTGTGTTTGCTGGGGGATCAGTTGCAAATAACAAACGTATCCAAGTACGCATCTGTTATCATTGAAGACAGACACTGGAAGACAACGAAGGCCCAGGAATTGAAAGACGGGTTAATGCAATGGTGGAAATAGCATCTTATGAATGAATGCTGCGCTGCGAGGGTCATAAGGACAGAGGGATGTCATATGCTGTAAAGCCCTGTGAGGCAAATTGTGATTTGTGATATTGGGCTTTATAAATAAAATTGATTGATTGATTGATTGATTGAATGCTCAGTAGAATAAATGACGATCAGGAGAAAGGAGTATCTCCTTCCAATATTTGATGTTTTCAAGCAAGTTAGTGAAATCTGATCAACTTTTTGCATTATTGGACTTGAAAGGCCTTCAAAACATATTTCCTCAGTCAGCTTGTTGCTGTAAGTAACGAGTTTCTACATGAACACGGTAGTATCTGCCAGAGTTGGAGCAATTTTGGTTATTTCACATAAGAGATTTCTCTGTGGTGTTCTATTTAGACTGGGCATACACTGTACAATTTGAGCCTATTTCTAACTCAATTTTTGAGCTGCATGACTCATTTCAGAGTCAGACTGAATTTCAGTTTTGTCGGTCAGCGTTGGCTGTGCAGTGTACTGAGGGAGGGAGGACCAATCATGACCAGATCAACTGTTCTTTCTTAAATTTCTTAAATGTCAGAAATTTTGGTCGGCTGTCGTCAGGCTCTCGCACAGTTGAAGCAAAGCCACAAGTCGATTTCTCGAAGTCGGGGCCTTTTTTTTTCTCACTGTGCCTGAGCAAAGTGGCAAACAGAAATCTTAAAGTGCCATGTGGACAGAAAATATGACCAGGCCAGGCTGGTCAAGCTGTGGCAACAGAATTCGTTTCAGAAGAAGTTTCAGCTCACAGAATGGCACAGATGATCAAGACAGCGTGTTTCTGCCTTGTTAGCATCACTGTGAATGGTACTGGTGTAATGTTACAGATAGGGATGCATGATATTGGATTTTTTTGCCAATATCCAAAATGCCAGTGTGTAAAAACTTATTTGGCCAATACAGATACCAATACTGATATATCCACTCTTTTCGCTACCTAATTTTAGGATCATCAAGTCTCTTGTAGTGGAATTAACATCATATTATGCATGCATACTCTTATCTTGATGGCCCACCGGCCGATGGAGACATGAAATACAATACTTTTCAATGTATGTGATATAATATTCATTGTGCAAACTAAGAAAAAAGCATGTTGGTCGATTCTGATAGTGCCTCAAAGCTTTCAAACAAATCTTTATTGACAGTTGTTAACAGCCAGACCAGTCTCCAGGGCCAGTGGGCCACTTTATTGGCTATTGTATACGGATAGTGTGAGCATTCAGGTTATACGTCACGATTTAGAAACAATTAAATCAAAATGTGATTACAGTTGTGGTGTTGCATATTGGATCAAACCACACCCAAACCATCTTGAAGAAGCAGTTTAGTTTGGATTTTGACTCTTAATAAATAATAACCAGGGTTGATTTTTAACTGTCGTTTTTTTGGGCATGAATATTTCATGTTATAATACTTGAAATACTTGAGATTTGAAACCAAGTTTTCAGGGGCTTTAAAAAGAGATTAAATTAAATATCAACAACATACTAATGGTAAGAGACATATTTTTGAGTGATTTGGCCAAATGGGGCAAATCACTGGAGGAGAGGACTGGACCAACAGTCAAGCCTCGGGATTGCCTGCAGGAGATGGAAGCTGAGGATGAGCAAGAATTCCCAGTAGGACTGCAAAGTTTGCATTGGATAAATACGAGGGAAAACCAATCCAAAGAGAGACACTCGTGCTTCAGCTGAGGAATCAGAGTGATGTGATCTGCACCATCAAGGCTCCAGTTAGACGTAAGAACAAGAGGATGCCAAGAGAGGATCATTTGTCCAATTTAAGGAGGATGGATTTTGCTCTGTGGAAAAACTGAAGACAGATGGGATTTTTCTTTTTTGAAGAGTCGGACAAAACGACTTTATGTAGCACTCTGCAAACAAAAGAGGAATATATATCCACTGCACACAGCTGCAAGATTGTTTCTATTGTTAAAAATGTGTCACAATGGAGGATGACAGTGTGTCTACCACCGCAGAGTACACACTGTCAGCTGTAATCATGACACATGCTCAGTGGGAGGAGGGGCCTCACATTTTAGCCTGGAAGAAAGAGAAAGTGGCAGAGGACAAACTAATCTAAATACTAATACGGTCTTACGTTAGTAGAAAAACTGAGATGCTTTGGTGAAAGCAGTGGTATGATTATTCAGCGGCTTTAATGGCTGCGTATTGGACTATTTGAGCAGAGTGACTCACCCTCACTGATAGAGAAAGGACAGATGGGGGAAGGCAGTTAGAGGATAGTGTTGTGGTGTGTGTGTATGTGTGTGTCTGTTGCGGTTTCTGCAGTGGAGGTCATGTAATTTTAAAATACAAACAGTAGAAAAAACATTGATGCAAATTTGGCCGTACACTCTCCCTCTGCTGTCTCTGTTCTCCCATGTTAAGAGACGATTGTATGTCAGTGAGGTGGGTGAAATGTCTGAGTGTAATCGGACGCAGACACACAAACCCTGCAGGCTACTTTATCCTGTTTGTTTAATGTATAGCAAGTGTACGTTTCAGTGCCCTTGAGACAGCCAAGTTAAATATGTCCCAAACTCTCAAAGTATTTAGGGAACAGGAAACAGAGCCCAACACCTTCATCTCATGTCATCACTTCTTTGGTTTACTATTCCCACTACTGCCGTGTATCTGTAGCTGTTGTCAGGCATCCTGGAGTAACTGTTAATGAGCTTACCTAACCTGGCACAACACAACACACGCTGCTCCCGTGTGCTTTCCTTAACCAGCTCCTTACGTAAGATGCCATCGAAGGGGTCAGAGGTCACGACAAACTGGGATTAGCGAAGGAGAGCTGCGGAGAGCAAAACACATGGACAGAGAGCTGTAAGCCGAGTGACAAATTACTGTTAGTATTTGCTGAGGCACTGTCAGATACACAGGAAATGAAAACTGCCAATACATCACAAATAAAGAGAGGATAAAACAATGAAAAGCACTTTAGAGGAGCAAAGTGTAGGATTTAGTGGCATCTCAACCAGAATAAATGTTGGCATTGTACATTTATTTTGAATTTCTACATTTCATATGTAGCGCATATGTGTAAACTTTACATTTCTTTATATCTTAGTGTTCAATTTTATGTTTCAACAAGGCTGTGGTTCATATGTGGTCAGGTTTGAGCATAAAAACCACTTCATTATGGTTAGGAAAGGATAATGTTATTGTCTTAAAATGCCCGGATCGCTCGCCACAAACGCAACTTATTGGAGCCACAATAACATTCTTTGTATTTGTGTTAATTCATGTTTAACTCATGGTGACTACATGTAAATAGATATAGTTTTGTTGGTTGCACAGGGGGGGGTGGTGCACTAGAACAGGAAAACCCAGGTAATAAAGGTAAGGTGCAGGTAATGAAAGACTCTACACGTCTGAAAATGTCCCAACATGTCATCAAAAATTACCTGATTTGTCGCAAATAATGAACTAACAAAAACAGCTGGAAATGTGTTGTTAAATATGTTGCTTACTTATCATGTTGCTTTGTGTTATTTTTATTGATGCTTCTTGCTCTGCACTATTCCATTTGAAGCTTTAACAATGCAACTTCTTCCACTGTGGGACTAATGAAGGATTATCTTATCTTAAAAAATACCTGGTTTGTTCACTACAAACACAGCTGAAAATGGTCTGACGTGTCGGTAAATAATATGTGGTTTCATAGCCACAGACACGACTGGAAATGTGTTGTTAAAGACAACCTGGTTTTGTTGCTGCAAACTGTCTGGAATTGTCCTGACATGCTGTTAAAAGATACCTGGTTTTGTTGCTACAGACAAAGGTCTTGTCAACAAATATCAAATTTTGTCACCACAAACACAGCTTGAAATGTGTCAGTGAAAAATACCCAGTTTCAGTGCTACAAACATAGTAGGAAATGTCCCCACATGTCGTTAAAAAATGCTGTGTTTCATTGCAACAAACAAAGCTGGAAATGTGTTGTTAAAAAATACCTGGTTTCCGTGCTACAAACACAGCTGGAAATATCCCAACATGTTGTTAAAAAATACTCGGTTTCGGTGCTAAAAACACAGCTGGAAATGTCCCAACATGTTGTTAAAAAATACCCAGTTTTGGTGCTACAAACACAGCTGGAAATGTCCCGAACATGTTGTTAAAAAATACCTGGTTTAGGGGCGTCAGTGACTTAGTTGATAGGGCAGGCGCCCCATGTACAAGGCTGTTGCCGCAGCGGCCCGGGTTCAACTCCAGCCTGTGGCCCTTTGCTGCATGTCACCCCCCCTCTCTCACCCCCTTTCACACTCAGCTTTCCTATCGATTAAAGGCAAAAATGACCAAAGCAAATCTGAAAAAAATATAAATACCTGGTTTAGTCAAAAAGATACACAGCCAGAAATGTCCACCTCGCCCAAGTGTCCAGTCATCTACCATCACCTCCATCTCCTGATAAGACACTCAGATACATACAGTACAGGCCAAAAGTTTGGACACACCTTCTCATTCAATGCGTTTTCTTTGTTTTCATGACTATTTACATTGTAGATTCTCACTGAAGGCATCAAAACTATGAATGAACACATGTGGAGTTATGTACTTAACAAAAAAAGGTGAAATAACTGAAAACATGTTTTATATTCTAGTTTCTTCAAAATAGCCACCCTTTGCTCTGATTACTGCTTTGCACACTCTTGGCATTCTCTCCATGAGCTTCAAGAGGTAGTCACCTGAAATGGTTTTCCAACAGTCTTGAAGGAGTTCCCAGAGGTGTTTAGCACTTGTTGGCCCCTTTGCCTTCACTCTGCGGTCCAGCTCACCCCAAACCATCTCGATTGGGTTCAGGTCCGGTGACTGTGGAGGCCAGGTCATCTGCCGCAGCACTCCATCACTCTCCTTCTTGGTCAAATAGCCCTTACACAGCCTGGAGGTGTGTTTGGGGTCATTGTCCTGTTGAAAAATAAATGATCGTCCAACTAAACGCAAACCGGATGGGATGGCATGTCGCTGCAGGATGCTGTGGTAGCCATGCTGGTTCAGTGTGCCTTCAATTTTGAATAAATCCCCAACAGTGTCACCAGCAAAACACCCCCACACCATCACACCTCCTCCTCCATGCTTCACAGTGGGAACCAGGCATGTGGAATCCATCCGTTCACCTTTTCTGCGTCTCACAAAGACACGGCGGTTGGAACCAAAGATCTCAAATTTGGACTCATCAGACCAAAGCACAGATTTCCACTGGTCTAATGTCCATTCCTTGTGTTTCTTGGCCCAAACAAATCTCTTCTGCTTGTTGCCTCTCCTTAGCAGTGGTTTCCTAGCAGCTATTTGACCATGAAGGCCTGATTGGCGCAGTCTCCTCTTAACAGTTGTTCTAGAGATGGGTCTGCTGCTAGAACTCTGTGTGGCATTCATCTGGTCTCTGATCTGAGCTGCTGTTAACTTGCGATTTCTGAGGCTGGTGACTCGGATGAACTTATCCTCAGAAGCAGAGGTGACTCTTGGTCTTCCTTTCCTGGGTCGGTCCTCATGTGTGCCAGTTTCGTTGTAGCGCTTGATGGTTTTTGCGACTCCACTTGGGGACACATTTAAAGTTTTTGCAATTTTCCGGACTGACTGACCTTCATTTCTTAAAGTAATGATGGCCACTCGTTTTTCTTTAGTTAGCTGATTGGTTCTTGCCATAATATGAATTTTAACAGTTGTCCAATAGGGCTGTCGGCTGTGTATTAACCTGACTTCTGCACAACACAACTGATGGTCCCAACCCCATTGATAAAGCAAGAAATTCCACTAATTAACCCTGATAAGGCACACCTGTGAAGTGGAAACCATTTCAGGTGACTACCTCTTGAAGCTCATGGAGAGAATGCCAAGAGTGTGCAAAGCAGTAATCAGAGCAAAGGGTGGCTATTTTGGAGAAACTAGAATATAAAACATGTTTTCAGTTATTTCACCTTCTTTTGTTAAGTACATAACTCCACATGTGTTCATTCATAGTTTTGATGCCTTCAGTGAGAATCTACAATGTAAATAGTCATGAAAATAAAGAAAACGCATTGAATGAGAAGGTGTGTCCAAACTTTTGGCCTATACTGTATACAGTTCATATACATGAAACCTACATATGTAACATATCCAGGGTTTGCAAAACTTATTCTGGTGACTGTGCTGGCCATCTATTGGTGAGATTGTAGATTGCAACAAACTGAATATCCCTCCTTTCACTCTTCCCTGTCCATGTGTTTGAGACTACGGTGACCCTCAGGTAACAAGGTGGAATCTATGGAGGAGGACCTGTTCCTTATGTAGATATGAACGGCTCGTTCTAATCGAACAAACACCCAACTCTTAGTTTTAGGTGATTAAAACTAATGAGAGCATAGTTATGAATATTATATGCCAATAGAGCCCACTAAATCCTACACACTGCTCCTTTCAGGGAAGCAAAATAAGTCCATCAAAGCTCTGACTTGTGACTAGAGACAGCTTCCAGGTGGGTCAAGCTACATTCTGCTCTTCCACATATAAACCAAGCTGTGATGTACTTATATAGATTCCAGTCTGTACAATCATAAAAGCAATGCATGATAGGATAGCTTCCAAAGAGGCCCACCTGCAGGAAACAGTAACAGGATTACAATGTACTGTTAATCCTCTCACTCCATGTGGCCCAATACCGCCACCTACTGAATGAAGCTGACATGAGCTCTATTTTTCTTGCAGTGAGCTCAGTTATCATCATCATCATCATCATCATCATCATTATCATCACAACCATGTTAGGCTAAAAACTCAATTCTATCGCTAGCGCTTTTGCCTAAACAATCTAGACTGATAAACAGCACTACAGGTAAGAGGAGAAATATGTATATTTGACCTCGGTGTGAACCGTTCCCTAAACCACAAATGCACACACAGTGTATCTCACACATAATGTCTGCCTCTATATTTGCAGCAGAGACTGTTTGGGTCATCCATGTGTGATTATTGTTGTCCACTGTGCGTGTGGCAAAGCAACATGACTCCTCGGGGGCTGACAGGGTGATAGCGTCACTGTATGTCACTGCTGTCGGACGTAGTGAGCTGATGTAACCTTGCTGCCACTTTTCCACCACAGGCCAGGAGGCTCAGTCAGCCTTGACAGATGAGAGTTAATTACTCACAAACTCTGAATCCACTTGCATAAAACAACTCTTTGTTTTTGTAAAGAGAAATATAAATACATTTAAAAGTGGTACAGAGCAGCATATCACCCTGATGCAACTAATGAAGATACAGTTATTTTTCTATGTGAATAAAACCACGTGGTTTATCCAGTAGGATTTATTTTAATGTAATCAATTACTTTAATCTCTCTCTGACAGATTAGAAATGAACAGGCTGTTCCATTTAGAGGTATAAAGACCTCTTAGTTGTTAAGTATTTAACACATCTGGCTGTGCTGCCTGGGAAATAAGTTGCTGATTTTAAAGCATTTAAAGTACAATTAAAGAGGTTTTTTTTTTTTAATTTTACAGGAAAAACTTGATGTCATCACCTAGCTTTTGGAGAAGTTGTGGCTCCTGGACCCTATTTTCCATGTTTTGTGTCAAAGTGACTAATGGGAACAACAGTTTTTGGGATTGGTCCAGTATTAAGTGAGATTGCTGGAGACAGAAGTGGTCAAACAGGCTGTAATGTAACCAGTCGGGGCAGGTACGTCCACTTAAAGTGGTTGTTTTGCCATTGACAGGTGTCTGACAAATTTATGGAAAGGGTATCTACAGAATAAACATTTTTTAAAGAGTAAGATTCTTTTTGTTTAACTAGAAACAACCCTGAAATCACTAT